TTGTTTTCGCGGTGTTGTTAATATAAATCAATAAAAATCCAACGCCAATTCAGCTGGGAGTCTGGGCGTGTCTCGACTGTTTCACTCGCATATTTGCTTACTGATTAGAGCTGCCACCCACCCAAAACAGCAAAAACAACAAAGTCATACTTACCTTTATATTGCCTCCCCCTCAACAAAATTGATACAGATAAGTGAAAGTTTCAATGTCTGAGTATTGTTGAATTAGTAATTACCATTAAATGCCGCATTAAGTGCGTTTCTAGTGGAGTTTTTCGCGCCCACTGATTCTATCCGGCCCAGACAACAAGTCTTGTTTGTTAAGTATTAGGCCAACTTACCTGGCTTTAAATGATTTATGTGATTTTGTGGTTTCAGGCCAGACAAAACCAATTAGAACTTGGCCAAGTGTTTCATTAATTTATCCCACAGATTAAGTTTGATTAAGAACGACAGTGGTTTTCTTCATTTAAATACTAATTTTATATCAAGAATAATTGGTAAATTTCTCAGCTTTTCATATTTACTTAAAATTTAATTTGCAAAACCTACATTGACATGCCTGTAAATCTTTGAACAATGAAATTTTCCTCAAATGTCATGTTCATGTTTTCCTTAAAGCTGAGCAAATTGAATTTGAGAACAAAAACACATCAAGGGAGACACATGCAAGACAATGTCCATCATTGACCCACCTTTGGGCTACCAAACGAGCAGTGATTGTCTTCTCATAGAAAAACAGAAAGGCCGCCTGAAGGCAACGAGCTTTTTAGATAGCAAACGAGACTGGGAAAATCGAAAGGCCTAGAAGTAATGGAACCCAAAGGTTAAGAGGATTTAAGGGTAAGTGTATAAGAGTTTCTCAGCCTAAGCCTTGCAGGAAAACTATTCAACTAATTTAAAGTGAACTTCATTACAATATATATTCCGATATATACACTGGCTTTTCAATTCACAGCCAAATTAGATTTCCCATTGAGTAGTAATCAATTTAATTGCCTTTCAATTACTTCAAATCGATTTTGCAATTCAACACAGCTTAGGCTTGAAGTTTCGGCTTCAATAAATTTGTTTGGCCAGCCCTTTCCTGGCCAATTAACAAAAAATATTTTAAAAATGTAGTTTAGTTTGGAAGCTCTTACAGGGAAATCACAGCCAAGTTCGACACATAGTTAAGGCTGTTATTTGAACGGATTTCGGAGTCGGTGGCATCATGGCGTCCATTAGAGCTCGTGTGCGAATTGAATTAAATACAAACTAATTTAACTAAATTCGCATTATCATCGAGACCACAAAAGTTTGGCCCAACTCGCAGCCGAGTTGAACCAGCCAACAGGTCTCTTGCTTAGCCCGAGAACCTGTTAATTGTTTAAATTAATTTAATTATGGCTTGATTTTATTTTTGCTTATAGCCTAGCCCACCGACGAAGTTTAAGTGTTTTGCCCCGAAAACATTTTCATTTTCGGCATCTTGTCAATATGTATCATTGAAAGCCAATATAAAAAAAAAGTATATAAAACATTTTTCTCTCCTTGATAATGTACACAACACAAATTGATTGATTTACCTGTCTGGCTTTGGCTGGGGCTTTGGCTTTGCTCTTTGATTATTTGGCTTGTGAAGTGTGTTTTTTATGGCCTCCTCTTCCTGAAATCGAATGAATGAATCAAAATGAAAATGCCCAAATTGAGGTTTATCCATTTCGAAACTCGCCCATTAAATCGGCATCACCGCTCAAATCCAGCAATCATCGATTTTACTCATTGTTTGGGTTACGTTTTTTATGCATATAATTAAATGCATTTATGCATAAATTCCGCTTCGATGCAAAACGGCGAATGTTAACAAGCGATTTGTTTTGATTTATCTGTAATAAATTACATAGCTTAAATTGATGCCATCGGCGTTGGCTTGCCCTCTCTCTCTCTCTCTTTCACTTCGCATTTATCGATCTCTTTCAGTTCTCTATGAATATTACCCTTGTTTTCTGTTAATGGGATATACAAACAACACGGAGTGCGATATGATAATGATTTTGAATCATTTATAGTCTGGCTTCCTTCCGACGGCACGTGCTAAAGTTATCATTCCGAAACAGGGATTGCATTTGTGTGTTTTGCAGACACGAATTTATGACTGGTTTCTGGCCTAATCAGTCAGTCAAATTGGGTTTTTCTCACTCTACACGTTTTTGGTTTTCCAATGTCGGTTTTTGTGATCTTTGGACTTACACTTTTTTTTCTGGGCTTTAATAAATAAAGCACGTGGCGCCGTTTCAGGTGTTAATTGATTAAGCATGCCATATAATGAACTCGCTTTAGGCGAAAAACGAAACATGCAAAAGGCGGGCGCGTTCTATATCAAATTAGCCAAAAATCCACGATCTAAACAAAATGCGATGAAAGCGAGTTTTTGGCTTATACTATAGATTATCTGGAGCAAAAGCTTTGAAACGCCCAGAAAAAAAGGCATCTAATTATTGATTAGCAGAGGTTTTTATGGCAATCCGAAAAAGTGTCCATTTTGTTGGTATGTCAGTAAGCTAAAATTATACAATATTCCCTTTTAGCCATTGGCATTGAAAAGCTGTTAATTTTCAAGAGCTTACTGTCTTTTCTTTCTTTTCTAAGCTGGCCAACAAGTTTGTAAATAATTCAGTTATACAAATTGATTTTAACCCTTTGCCGCAGTGCAGTTATCGAAATTGAAACTGACATATGGGTCTATAATAAATTTAACAAGCAAGCTTTGACCCTTTTTCTTGAGAAAATTTCGTTTAGATGGATAACTTAGGCCAACTGCTGTCTATTATTTACTCAAACGTCAAATTTGGCAGATTAAATTTCCAACCTGCCAGTACAGAAAAGGTAGGAAAATATTTCCTATTAGCTGATATTTCCGTTTAAAGCTGTTGCCTATATGGTGGCTTAACTTTTTCATTGAACAACATTTGGCAAAAGTAAATCTTTGTGGTAAAGTGTGAAACTTTGTCCTTTGACAACTATTCCAATGAATTTGTGCCACCTTCACACGCTATTTGAGCTGTTGTGCAAGTTTTCCCAAGCAATTACCACACTTGGTCTTAGTTTTGGTTTCAAGCAGCAGAAGCAGCAGTAGTAGCAACAGCAGCTGTGGCAAATTATGAACTGCCATATAAAAGTTGCCCCATTTTCAGCAAAAGAGGAAGAGAAAGACTTTCTCCAGACTGATAAGGACGTGACGAAACCCAACTCTTGGCCGGGACTATTTCCTGCAGACAGCTGGCTTGATAAAATTTTTAAAATATACAACAATTTCAGTAAGTGGTCCTTAGCTCGACCCTTTTCCTTTTGATTCCACTTGAAAGTTTCCTTTGGCTTCCTTTAGTTTGCTTTACCCTTTAATATTGAACTGGGGAATTGCGTAGACTCGATGGTGTAACCAATGTCTACAGAAATTGCAATTTTATTCGCGTATTTATTGAACACTCTTTCAGTTTTCTTTTGTTCTCCCCCCTTTTGTTTTCCGTCGAAGGGCAGCAGCGGCAGGAAAAACGAAAAATATTGGTCTCCCTTGTATATGCCAGGCAAATATTTACTGTGAATAAACTGACGCGGTGCTCATTTATCCAATATCCAGCAATTATGTGCAATAATTTTTGCATTATTTGCCGGCGTTGTTCGTTAATTAAAATGTTGTTAACATTAGATTTGTATGCCCGATGCGGCATTTAATCCGCTTGGCAAATAAATATTCCCATTGGCCCCCCTTGGGCCAGAAATTTTTATCACTTTTCCTTATTTTTTTATTTATTATAGCTTGCGCCGCTTAATTATTTCTATTTGCTGTTAATGTAGAGCGTACAGCCGGGTCATAATAAACAGCAGAGAATAAATGAACACCAAAACAATATAAAAATAAAGCAAAAAGAAGAACATATTCTCTCAATTCCATTAGATCATAACTTTTGTTCTTTAATTACCTAGGAATTCTGTTTTTATGCCCCGGTACCTATTCTAAACAATTTGGCGATAAATTTAAGAAAAATTCCATATGAAATGCCTGTATTTCTCATCGGGTTATGTATCTTTGTATCTTGTATCTCCAGTTTTGTTTTTATTTTTATGGCTGCACGGAAGGAAGAAGCGCATTCAATGGAACCAGCCAAAAGCGACAAATGAATGAGCAAATAGATTAAACATTCACAGATTGTACTCGCATATGAATGGAAAATTCTCGGCATGTTGAATGCTTTTCAGCATTTTTGTCATCTGCAATTGTTTATGTTGAAAGGAATGCGAAGCAAAATCAAGATCTACATTTTAATTGTTTTTTTTTCTGTTAGCTTTTAAATATTGGAATTTCATTTGATGATTTTTTATGGTTTAAATGTTTGCAAAAATGTAATTTTTGCTTTGAAGAAAAGTCTTTGATTGTTGAAAAATGTATATTTTTATTGAGTTTCTGCATTTTTCTTCCATTTTCCTTAGCCAAAATTTAAACCTTAACAACTCCACAGCTCTTTTAAGCCTAATTAATTTTCTGATAGCCCCACATAAATTTGTTGGAAAATATTACTTTATTTAACAAGGGAAATCTATTAACTTATCACAAATTGCTCTCAGCACATGCTCAACTGGCAGAGGGATTCGGGCACTTTTCCCAGGAAAATTTCACTGAAAAGTTTGCTCGACTGCATTTACGAGCATGCAGAAGCAACAGAAGCCAAAAAGGGGAAGAGGGTAAAGGGAAAACATAAACATGACTTTACTTTACTTAAAATTTAAGACTTAGTAGTCAAGATGCTGCACAGACTTTGTTTTCGCCGCAAGAGACTTGAAGTGACTTTCTGGGCGGCGATGCAGTTAAAGTGGCTCGCCAAATATTCCGGCTCAGAGGTTATTTCGCCTTTGGAGATGTGTGTGGGTTTGCTAATAAATTGCTTATATAAGTTTTACGATCTTTTTGTGCGTTGATTTTGATGCGTGCCGGAGCGTAACATTTGGTTAAGTTCTTTTGTGGTTTTAGCCAAAAGTGGTGCGCAAATAGCCTGAAAATGAAGAGAGCGTTTTTGGTAAAAAAAGAAATATGAAAAAGTTGGCAACGCGAGGCAGCCAAACAAAACAAAAAATATATGTAGTCTACTTTCAGGTTGAAGCTGCAAAAATGCATTTAATTTTAGGCTTCGGACGAGACAATAACACACATTTTTCTACCAGCACTGAGAGCATGAATATGAACGAATGACAAATGGGCAATTTTGAGTGTGCAATTGGGCGTGTCCGCAGGTAATTTGAATGCCTCATGGAAATGTAACCTAGAAGCAAATTAATTACGCGACAACTTACACATTAAATTAGTAGTAGCACTTGAGACTCACTTTTGTTTTTAGTTTATTATTATTAGTCAGGGTGGCAAGGGGTAAAAGCGGTAACAAAAATGCAATAACAACACACAAAAGCAGAATCTTAGTTATAGCCACGATAGGAACTCGAGCCATATCCACGATCTCTGGAAAAGGGCAGCCCATAACGATCTGTATCATCGTAATAGCCATAGCCCCTATTCCTTTGACCCTGATAGTCCCGCTGCCAATATCCCGAATACTGCTTCAAACCTCCATTACCTCCGTAACCTCCATATCCACCTTAGCCTCCTCCTTGGGTTCCCAAAATGTTCGTGGTGGGATAACTGCTGGTGGAATAATAGTTATAGCCCTGGGTAGGGTAGTAGTTCGCAGATCCGTAGTTTCCCTGGCTTGGGTAGTAAGTGCTAGAGCCATATCCCGAGCCTGGATAGTAACTAGATGAGCCATAGTAGTTCGTATTATAGCCGGGATAGTATCCGTTGGTCGGACGATTGTAGCTATAGCCATAGTTGGGATATCCAGAGCCGGTTCCAAAGAGATTTAGCACTACAAAATTGAGAGGGAAAATGTGAATTTGATGCTAAATAAACTCAAATCCTATATAGACATATTTCCCCCCTAAGGTAACTATGTCTTAAATTGTTCCTCTTCCTCATTTCTTATACTCACATTTAGCTGAAGTCTCCGCGGTGGCCAAGTCACCTGTTGCCGTCGTCCTGGCAGTTGCCACCTGATTTTCCGGGAGGGCGGCACTCCAGGCTCCAGTCACAGCCAACTGAAATGCCATTTTAAGGGCTTTTGTTTTCGGGTATTTACGCAAATTGGATATCGCTCCGAGAACTCACCATTAGAGTAAATAGCTTGACGATGAACATGGCTCTGGTTTTTCTTATTTTTTTTTTTTAACTATTTTTAAAACAATCAAAATATAGAAACTTCCCGGCAAGAGAGCTTTTTGGAAACCAAGACAACTGCTTGGCCCGGTTGTTGGACGTTAAATAATTCTGTTTCTCAGACGAGGGGCCAATTTATATTTTTCATTTTCCGGCTGAGTTGCTACGCTCAAGTTGAAGTCGCTGTCGACGTCGCTGAGACAAACAATCCGCAACAAAAACAGAAACAAAACAAAGCCCCCAACTCTCGCACTTGTCGCACTTTTGCATCTCACTTGGAAGTCAAGCTTGGTTTTATTACTCATACGACACGTTGGTGTGGCCAAAGCGAAACTTCAGTACAGAAGGTGGGAATCCAGCCCTAAAGAGTTCTAACAATTTTGAGCAGTCAGTTGGGCAGACCTTTTCTGTCAGTGATTATGGATTATTATTAAATAATACGAGTAATATTCTCAATTATACGAGGCAGGTGACAAAATAAATGCCCATCTTGCCAGTGCGTGAGCTGAGTTTAATTTTAGCTATTTGCCTTTGCAAAACTTTAACAAACACAAATAGCCAAAGCAAAAACAAAAATGAAAACAGAAAACAGTGAAAAGCCCCGCCCCGGTAAACCATTGAATATTTACCCTTAGTTCACAGATCGCATTTCTTTCAAGTTTCACCGCCATCCCGCAATGAATGAGAATACCAAAACGCTGCTCGCCCGGCCGTGTTTGTTTAGTATATCTTTAATTCCAATTATCCACAGAGAGTTTGCTGTATAAATATTTAACTTATTTGACTTTTTGTTGCGTTTTCTGAATTTTTTTCGTTGACTATTTTCTTGCATAATCGCCGGCTATCGTGCCACAACGTGGCAGAACGCAAAGTGTTTCATAATCTTTAAAGACCTTGAGGAGTTGTAAACTCATTCATAAAACTCAAGTTCCGACTCGAACTAGAAAGCTTTGAAAATAATCACAAAGTGTATTTGTATTTACCCGAATTTTGACCTCCACCTAAGCCCTAAACCAACCGAAGAGTTCACAGCTAAAGACGAAGATACGATGTGTGAAAAGTATCGGGTATTTTGCGACATGCGGGTATATTGCAACTCTTTGGCTATTTACCTAACAAAGTCGTAAAACAGATCCCAAAACTGGGTTACAAATTGGCCCAAGATAAAAATATTACAAGCCCACAAGATTGTGGGTCATCTTTTCTTGAATTTTAGACAATATTACATTCTTAAAACATTTTTTGTTTTTCGGAATGCTATGAAATTTTCATTATACAAATGCTAATAATAAGAGATGTTTTCTTTAAGCTTTCGGCAAAATTTTGCCAAGCCTTGCGACCTTAAAGGTATTTCATTTGCATGAATTCCATTTCATACCTTTGAAAACAACAAAGAGCAATAACAGTAGAGTAAAAAATATAAACAAAAGTCTCCATTTCAATGTGGCTTCACTCCCTGTTTTGTTCGTCTATTGATTTTAGGGTCTTTTTCCAAGGAGCTGACTGAATACCGAGTCAAATGGAGAAGGGAAAGAGGGAGAAAAAGAGCCTTTCACATATTTGCAAATGGGAAATTTCGTTAGCAGATATTTCATGCCGACAGCCATTTTACGCACCATAAGCGACAGATACATTGTAATTAATAGGAGTCGACTATAAGGAACCCTGGAAAATTTTACATATAAAAATTCAGATGATTCAAAAATTTCTAACAGATATTTAAATTATTTTCATTTATTTTTTAATAAAGCTTCTTGTTAAGCCTTGTATACCCATTTATTACCGTGTAATTCGTGGCAAGTACTGATGATTGCGGGATACACCAATCATTATAAACATCATTTCCACTTACTTTTTATAAAGATTTAATTTCCAAATTGGATTCTTGAACTTGTTTGGGCGGAGGCTTAACTTGATGTTAACACGATTGCGGCTAGGATTTGCTAGCAAAGCTTTTTCTTAATAAATTGTAATTAGGACGTGAAACAATTTTAAAGAGATTACTTTTAAGATAAAAATTCGTTTTTTTTTTGTATAATTATTTATTAAGCGGAGAAACAATTCGGTTAATCCGAAACAGGGTAAGGTATATCACGGTTACTAGCATACTTTTAGGCATAACTATGTGCCGTAAGAAGTAGGTATACAAAATTACCGAGTGGCGCCAGTGTAGACTATGATATTAAACCCCTTGCCAAAAGCATACCACAATTAGTTGCTTTTAATTAAGCCAACGGAAACGACCTTTGGGTATGCAACATATTTTGTGTCGTAAGTATTACATGGTCGACTATTCTATTGTTTGTTATTTTGAAACGACCCTGAAAGAAAGGAAAATCTGTAACACAAGTCAATTTGTCCTTTGCCATGTACATATATCTATGAGAGAGCAAATATGTAGGCCATGATTTCATGAGGGGCAGTGGCCCTAGTCTAGACCCCAAAAAGTTTGACCTAATAAGTTAATATACAGTTAACACGAAGAAACTTGACCCTTATGCTTGCTAAATATTTAATACGTTGATTTCGGTATCCATTTTGGCTAAAGCTGCTTTAGTATTCAAACCAATCGAAGCAGATGATGCCAAAGGTTTTCCTTTTAACCGCTAAATAAATTAATAAGGCCAGAATGCATTTTTTCTTAATTTTTATTTAATTTCAATATTTCTCTTTTGACATAACAATTCATTATTCCGTCTCAATCATTATTAGAGTAGACATTAAATAAACTAAGAACTAAAGTTGATAAAAAATCATAAAGAAATAAAACTGAATAAAATCATAAAAAAATAAAAAGCAATACACAAATGCATAATAAACAACATGTCACAAAACAATTTTCTCATCTCATTTTTCTTTCTTGCCAATTTGCAGTGCTCTCTCAAAGGAAACATTTAGATTACAAATAGTTTTTAAAGGAGATATTACATAAGAGAGCTCCGAAACTCATCGTGGACAGGCGGTCTGGAGTGCATTTTTACCAAAGGAGTTTAAAAACAATATCATCGATTTCGAAATATAACACAAGAATGCGAACACATTAGCTGGGCTCTCCATTCGATTTGCCCTTCTTAAATGCTGGTTGGCTTGGCCCTGCCTGGCAGACACTAAAAACACTTAGACTAGGTTTAGTTTTTTTTCTTGTTGGGAAGAGGTAGGATCGAGGTTAGGATGGGATTTAAGCGGGATCTGGGATTGGGTATTGGGTTGTCCTCTCTTGTCCTTGTCTTAGTTCGTCTCGCTAGTAGCCTTTATTTCTGGTTTTGAGTCAGCCAAAGTTTTCTCTGCTTCGGGTTCAGCCTTTACCTTGACTTCTTCGGAGGCTGCTGGAACGGGTTCAGCCTGTACCTTAACCTCTTCAGATGCTGCGGGCTTGGGCTCAACCTCGGCTTTAACCTCTACGGGGGCTGCGGCTACAGGTTCAACCTTAACCTTGGTCTCCTCAGAGGCGGCTGGAATGGGTTCAACCACAACTTTCACCTCTTCGGAAGCGGCGGCTACGGGTTCAGCCTTAACTTTCACCTCTTCAGAGGCAGCGGCAACGGGTTCGGCTGCCTTGGCCTCCACTGGAGCCTCAGCATCGGTGGCTTCGCGTTTCTTGTGTAATCTTCCCGGCAGATTCTGGGTGCATGAGCATGGGCACATGCACTGATCCTTGGGTGCCGAACCCGTCAGCACCGAATGAAGGCTAAATGATGAACCAGGCTGAACGCCCAGCGGGAAGGGATCGATGTTCGAGTGTTGATTAATTGAGTTCTCCTCACAGTTGGAATAGTACTCCTGCGGCAGGATCACCACGGGCATTAAAGCGATAACAGCTCCCTTGGGGATCTTGTCCGGCGGATAGAAGGCCGGCTGTCCGGGTGCCTGAGGTATCACTGGCAATTGGGTCAGTGACATGGCGTTTATTATGCTGCCAAAGTTTGCTTGTCCATTGAACCCGGAAAATTGTTTGTTAAAGTCAACGGAGGCGGGATTGGGATAGGAGTTCGTGGTGGTTGTGGTTGTGGTTGAGGTAAGGGTGCTTTTCGATGAGTGTGTCTTATCGGCGTTACAAACACAGGACTGATCGCTGATCGATGGCACATGTAATGGGGGAGAGGGACGTGGCGTTACTTTGGGTTCAACGTAAACTGGAGGAGGTCGTGTCACAGGTTTGTACGGTACTGTCACGGGTTGTTTGGGAATAACCACATTGGGAACCTGTGGTGTATGGTACTGGATTTGTGGTGGTGAGGTCACAACCACCTTTTCGAAAGGTCGTGGTGTCGAGGGTTCGTAATAAATCGGAATAGGAGTCGGTTTTGGAGTAGGTTTCGGAGTAGGTTTTGGAGTCGGAATCGGAGTCGGAGTCTTGGTCACGTATTTGGGAGTCGGTGGTGGTGGTGGCAAGTACGTATGGTTTTCTATATTACCCGTTGTCACTGGCGGTGAAGTAACGCTCTTATGTGGCTTATCCTTCTCAATAGTGATAGCCGGGACCTTTGGCTGTACGATCGTCGTCGTTATTTTTTGGGATGGCGGAGGTTGAGGAGCAGGAACGGGAACGGGAACATAGGGTTTTGGAGTGATTGGGAAAGAAGGAGGAATATAGGTTAGTGGTGGCTTTGTCGTTACGGGTACTTTCTTAATAGCATAATCATTATTGTGTTCGTAATTCGGCTTAAAAACTGTTTTTGGTGGTTCAATTTCAATGGTTTGTGAGTAGGATGGAGGTGGTGGTGGCTTGGAGATTTTACCCGGTTGGTTTGGTGGCAGATAGCCGGGAGTTTCCTTGTCCGAGTAACGGGGATCGTTGGGAGCAGGTCCTGAAATTTAATAGTTTTTTTAGTTTCAGAATTTTTAGCTGTTTTCTTGGAGGGGTCTTACCTGGTGGGCCGGGACGAGTTGGGCCGGGTGGGCCGGGTGGTCCGGGAGGTCCATAAGGTCCAGGACGAGTGGGTCCGGGTGGGCCGGGAGGTCCCGGGGGTCCGAATGGTCCAGGCTTGGTTGGTCCCTTAGGTCCGGGAGGTCCTAGATGATTAGAATGAAGTTTGTAAGATCTGTGATCTATCAGTTAGCTATCCAAAACTTACCAGGTGGTCCGGGTGGGCCGGGAGGTCCGGGAGGTCCGTTGGGTCCCTTGGGGCCTAGAAAGCGATCAACAAATATTAGTAAAGTAATTTCTAAACCAAAGATCTATCGAGGATTATACCGCCGGGTCCTTTAGGTCCGCCTGGGCCGCCGGGGCCTACGCCGCCGCCGTCTCCCTTGCCGCCGTTGCCGCCGTTACCGCCGTATCCGCCTTCGGGTCCAACAACATGGACATATGGGGGTGCCGGTGGTCCAGTGGGGCCTTCAACGTGAACATATTTGCCCGAATCATCGTGATAATACCGACCATCGTTAATACCTGATGATGATGTAAATGGGAAAACATAAGTATTCATATTCCTATTTATACCTTTTAGTATAACTCACCGTTATAGCGTCCGCTGTTATCGTTATATTTACCGTTATCTAGAGAGTAGATTTGAAGATCATAAAAATCGTTCGATTAGAAACTGTGCAGCATAAAGTTTAAATTCTACATGCTCACGATTTAACTACAGTTACAGCTACTAGCTACTAGTAACTACATAAATTAAACAATATATTAACTACAACAATGGATTTACTAAAATCTGTTCTATATACGAGTACAATTACATAACATTAGAGTACATTCAAAGGTTACATGCTAATCGATCTAGGCCAACACCACCAGAGTAAACAAAAATCATAACAACAAAAAGCAAACAAGTAGAATGGAATTAGTATTAAACTATGGGTTTAGTTTAGGAGGAGGGGGATCAGGAACACCGAAAACCAGACTAAAATAAATCACAGATATTAATTGTTAGTTGCAGTTATAGAGTTGATTAATAGTCATTGCTCAAGCGGGTTTTTGTTTCACCTTTTTTTTTCTGTTGTATGTGCCGTGTTATTATTTTACAATAAATATGAGTTTTGTGTGGGTGTAACTGTGTGTGGGTGTGTGTGTGTGGGTGGGTGGGTGTAGAAATGAAGGATCGGTGCAAGCATGGGTGAAATAACTGTGAATGGATCTCAGCCAAATGAAGGTGCTGAGAAACAGGATTTGTGATCGAATTGGAATTGGTTCGATAACTCTTTTCGTTCGATAACTTTTTTTTTTGGTGCAGGAGGGATAGAAAGAGTGAGGTATAGAGGTATATAGATATAGATTGGGATTGTGCGCTCTTGGGAGAGGTGCTCTTGTAGAGGATAACTAAAAATCAAAAAACGTGCCCTAGCATTGCCTGACTTATATGTGTGTGTGTACGAGTATGTTCTTTGGTTTTTGTTTTTTTTTTTTTTGGGAAAATTGCAAAATAAAATTATAGAAAAAATATTGGAAATTAGGTGCGAAATCATTTTGTTTTTGCTGAAAATAAACGAAAAGTCCTTAAAATAGTTTAAAATTTAAGTAAGAATTATGGTAAAATAGACATATTCCTATCTTACAAACTAAAAGCCTTGAAGAGAGAAATTTGAACGAACTGATCGCGCATTAGTATGATTTATATATTTCGATATTTTTGAGTGGAACCTTGATTGTCATTGGATAATTTAATATGAGGTTACATTTAATCCGCTCCATCCGCAGCTCGTTCAAATTTTGCTCTCCATGCGATAGCCAATAGAGAAATCGTTGGAGGGCTAACCTGGATGATATGGAATGGCCCCAGGAAAACCGGTCTCAGTCTGCGTGTAGGTGCTCGTGTAGGTTCCCTCATTGTCCGGGCGATACTGGCCACTGGCATCGATTCCGTAACCGCTGCCGGCTCCCGTACGATCGCCACCGACGGCTCCACCGTTTCCGGTGGTATAACGACCGCCGGCGCCAACTCCACCGCCGTTTCCGGTGGTGTAACGATCGCCAGCGCCGACTCCACCACCGTTTCCGGTGGTGTAACGATCACCGGCGCCAACTCCACCACCGTTTCCGGTGATGTAACGATCGCCGGAACCAACACCGCCACCGTTACCGGTGCTAATGCGATCACCAGAACCGATTCCGGAACCGCTGCCCAGGCCAGTGCGATCGCCGTCCTTGTAGACCGGTTTTCCTGAGGCTCCTCCTCCCGCGCCGACCGGACCCAAGCCGCCAGGTGGTCCCGGTGGTCCCGGAGGTCCATTTGGTCCCTTTGGTCCATTAGGACCACCCGGTCCATTGGGTCCGAAACCGCCAACGCCTCCGAATCCGCCGTTTCCACCGAAACCGCCTCCAGAGCCGCTGCCTCCGTTACCACCATTGGGTCCAATCACATGTACATAGGGATTATTGTCCGGCACGTACTGGCCATCATCTAAAAGGACACAAACTTTGCAGTTTCCGATCCGTAGATCCTTCTATAGCTCATTGCTCACTATTGCTGCCCGGTAGCAGGGTGTTCACCGAATGGAACGACGGCGCCTGATCGCCGGGATGGCTGAGATCCGAATGACCCTTATCCGTGCCAAAGATTCCCGTGCCCTGGGGCACCAATGGCCCGAGGGGCTTGTGGATGGGCAGACTCTTCTGGTCGGAGCCCTTGATCACAATTGTGTTAGCTGAGAACGATGGTATCGCATCGTTGCTACCGCCCTTGTTCTTGAACTGTAAAATATGTTTTGGCCGGTTAGAAGGGGTTCCCAGGTGGTAATCTTGGTCATGTTCCAGAATGGTCTTATCCAAAGGGCAACTCTTTTGTCATCTATGCATGCAAACAACCATAAGTTGCCTTTTGGTAAGTAGAATTCTAGGAAATGACCAGTAACCGCCGAGGGAATTCCTCCTGCTACCCTTACATCTTCGAGGAAGAATGGAACACCGTGTTGGGCGCCATTCGCAAACTTTCCACATCCAATGGGGAAATACAGTTCTTCCCACTGCAGCAGAATACCCGGCTGTGAGGGACCGCCGTCAGTCTCGTTATACAGATGTGGCGGGAAAGTCTCCACTGGCTTCTCTGGCTCTACGGTGCGGTAACCGTGGGCATCGGCCACGTAGTGTGTTGCCCGGAGCAGATGGTAGGGATCGATGAGGCCATAGCAGCCATAGGTAACTCCATCGGGACCACGGGTCTCGTGATGAAAGTTGCCGGTCTTGCCGACATCGTAGCCATACCGATAGGCATCTTTTGGATGATCATGATCGTGTCGTTTTTGGTTTGGTTTTTGGTGGTTTGTTGGGGATTTGTTTGGGTTTTGGAAGAGTAATGTTTAGAGTATAACGTTTTTGTTTGGTGTAATTTGAATAGTACAAGTAGGACGAGTACTAGTAGTTTTTGTAGTGCTGTGAGGACCTGTAAATGTGGTGTTTATATAACCCTAAGACTCTCAACTAACTGACTTTGAACTAACATCTCTTAAAGGGCGCTGTAACTGAAAGTTTCACAAAGAACCTAATCAGATGAGTTTTTTTGTATAAAGAAGATGTTGGTGTTTGTTGTGTGCTGTTTGTTGGTTTGTTTTTTAATTTTTTTTTTTATCATTTTTTTCTGGATTTCTGTTGGAGTAAACAATTTTGAGGTGGTGAGGTAGAGTTATGAGTATGCGAAGCATTTTTAAAGAGGTTTCATGTAGAACTTTTGGCCACTGAAGAACGCAAATGCCTACATAAAACTGTTGAAAGAAGTGTATATATTTGTATGTAAGAGAAGGAGAAAGTAGCATAGAATAAGAGAGAGAGAGAGAGAGGAGAGAGAGATATAGGTAAATGGTTGATTGATTGTTGAGCGTGTATATATTTACAATTTGAGTATAGCTACGACGCATACTACGGTTTCTACTGGGTGAGTTTAGTAAAGCTGCTACGGAGATATATATAAATGTATATATATATAGAAGGGTACTACAATTGGTTGTTGTTTCGATTTTGGGATATAGATTAATTAATGTAAGTTGGTTGAGCTATCAAAAGGGGTGGGTTTTCGGGGGAGTTGTAAATACAAATACTTACGTCTAAGGTACTACTAACAACTACAATAACAATGTTGGTTGGTCAAATTAACTACTTATGTGGTATATAAATAACAAAAACAAGGACTAACTAACTGCATGGATGGGTCATATCAAAAATGGATGGACAGTACAAAGTTCAACTGATTTTTTACATAGTTAATGGTTTTTTTGGGATTGTTCTAAGTTTTACTTTTTCGGATGTTTGGAATGGTTTCAAGCGGCTTAGATAGACACGGATAGGAAAATTGTTAAACAAAATCACTTACTTGTGTCAACGTTTGACGAATAGTATTGACGGTTCGTTGTCTTTTGGTCGTTAATGTCGAGAATAAGACGACGGTTCTGCTCGTCGAACTTTGCAGAGTAGACGCATTGCACAAAGATGCAAGCGACGGCCTGAAATGAATAGAGTAAGAAAAAAGCACGAAGGCGAATGATTAATTAATGTGTCTAGCAAAATAACCAAAACTTACAACAACTGTCGAAAGATTTGTCACATTCATGGCACGCCCCCACAAAAGTATCTCAAAGATTAAAGTTTTGGCTTGGCTCGGCTAACCGCAGCTCAATTTGCATACTGTATGGCCAGAGATGAGTCAAAAACTCGAGCTCGTTTTTGGTTATTTGTATCTCCGACAGGCCCAAGCAAATCAGCAGCCATTTAGATCCGGTTCGATTCGAAACCAAAGCGAAAAGTACCAAAAAAAAAATAAAAACCGTTCACCGATTTTGTTGGCAAAATGTCAAAGGCATAATAATCAAACCACAACGCATTCTTGGCCCGCTCGTCAAATGTTGACGGACTTTTTAGCGAACTGGAACTGGATTTTTGAAATTTTGTTTAGCAGATGCTAATTTCCCAAGATTTGTCATAGTTCGAAAAACGAAAAACTAGTTGGCTTCCACTGACATTAATGGACAATTAGCTTAGTTCTAAATGCACTTGATGGCATTCGGAGTGGCAGCAGCAAATCGATTACCAATGGCAACAGGTTTTAGCTCTTAACTGTGCCACAAAATCGTTGGATCATCTCTGTGGCCGAAGATCTCCGCCTTAATATCTGAGATTACGAAATTGTTTCGTTTATTAATTTGCATAAATTGCCCATAGAATTAATAAAATCAAGCCAAGTTCCGGTATGGCCAAGACTTCCTTATACAAACGAGTTCTTTTACCAAATTTTAATTATTTAAAAGCCCCATCCTAATATAGAATTCAAAAGACGAGTCATAATTCTTAAATATGTCGCTTAATTCGTGGCCAAAAAGAAAAAAAGCAGGTGCGGAAAATGACCTTCACAATATGCTAAACAATCAATTCGTTATTTAATTTTTTGATAGATTTGTTCATAGCCAAATTGAGCCGCCATCAATGCGACGATGAGGGTGTGCTTGGCTTAAGGTTAAAGAGGGATTGCAGTAATTAAATGGGAAACAATGGCATTTTATGGTTAACACCCGCCATAGATTCCATCTACTCGTATCTATCAATGGCTTTGCGATAAGGTCAATAATTTTGCGTCTTTTTGTGGGTGCAAACAAAGTGGAAACCAAACCATGTGAAGGAAACCAAAAAATGCGGCGACAAAACAAATGAATTTCTCATAAAACAAATTTATTTGCCTATCGCGGCCATCAAACGGCTCGAAATTCGAGATTTCTGATTGAGATTCCAAAGTCAGCAAAAAGGCAAAAGAAATATGAAATCTCATTAATGCAAATCGGTGGCTCGACGGATAACTGTCTTTTGATTGGCATATCTCCAAGTTTAAATTGTTGCCAAATCGCCTGCTCCAAAATCTCCACCACTAATCAATAATACAGAAATTTTTGAGAGTTCATAAAAAATACATTTCTGTTTTTAATTTATTATGCCATGATATCTAGCAGCTGCTGACAACAAAAGGTCGCGTTTCCATCTCACCCACATAGCCGGAGGGCAAGTTTTTCATAAATAAATTTTATTTTTTTCCCCATTTTGCATTTTTTGTTCAACAATTTCACCATTGCGTGTCTGGCCAGGAAAGACAAGTGAAAACTGTTGGTTAAAATTACAAAAGTTTTTCCGTATATTCGATCCTTATTGATTTTTAACTTATTATGGAAGTTGATTACATTCGAAACTTTGTCTTTCACTCATGGGAAACTAACATATTGTGTAAGTTTTCCCTTTACTTAAAGTCAAGGAAAACTGTTTTCGTTGACATTAAGGAAAAAGTGATGGATTGATTGATGTCGTTTATGTTTTTTGGTAAGGTGGGACAAGGAGCTTTGAATTGTCAATGAAGTGGGTGAGAAACTTTTGTGACAGGAGAGCCATAAATCCAACTAAATTGATCAGAAATGGCTGGACTATGGTTTCCTGAATCAAGTTCTTCAAAGCCATCTTCTTCTTTAAAGATATTTATTTCATCTTTATTAGCCAATTGCTCTCTATTGAAAAGCCCTCAAAACTTTACCCTGATCTCATAATTGGGCTAGCCCAAAAAATGGTAATTAAACTATCAGATTGAGTGAAGGGGCTGCCAAGCCCGCTTCTCAGCTGCTGATCGCTGCACAAAGCCGCACATCAATTGCCAATCAATTAAACTTTGAAAGAAAAAAAAAACAACTAATGTGGGCCAAAATTTATGTATACATGACGTCGCCCATAAAAGAAGTGCGAAGAGGTGATTTTCAAGTTGCGAATGCAGTAAATCAATTCCAAGTCGCATAGATCATGCGCAACCGAGTGGCAACTGACGTTGTGACCCAAAAAACGCATGCAGCTACGCCTTGAGAACCAAAGCGTTCTATGAGCGCATGCACAATGAGCCAATGAATCTTGAAGAGTTTTGCATAACTCACATCTGAGAAAACAATTTATTAATCGACTTAGTCGCACGCACAAGACGGTTGTTCCTATGGCTGTTTACATGGTTTCTCGTGTACATCGTCTTCTTCATCGTAATCATCACGATAGTCATAATAACCATCATTCGAAAAGTAACCGGTTTAGTCATCCTCACACTTTTCGCTGAAGTGTCTTGACTGCTTTTGCCCTTTGGCGGTTGGAGCGAAACTTTTTTCGTGTAAGTATTTATACTTTTCAAGGTCGATCTTTTGCCGGCGGCCAACAAATTGAACAAGAAAATATGTATGTTGCTTGTTTTTTTATAAATCGAATCAAAATGCAACTGGCTGTGGGACGGCGACCTTAATCGATGACATCTTTATATTTTTATTTTATGTGTTTTTGGGATGCAGTTTCGGGCTGCATGAAATTGTGAAATTTCTTTCCAACGAAACATTGTTGGGGAATTGTGAAATTCCTGTTTCAAGATATGCCTACACTCCCCGCCAAACATTTACATAAAGTTAGACAATAATAAAAATGGCTAACAAACACTCATGATGAAAGCCTACCCGGCAACGAACCAAAAAATTCACCTCAGTAACAAAAGGAATTATTAGAATATGGCAAACTTTGGTTTAAAAAATTCAATTCCGATTCGAGCGATAAAATTCGGTGGGAAACGAGTCTAACCAGCTATGGGCGATGGCCTTTTCGGTTCGGATTTTCCAGTTAATCCAGACTCGAATTTAATTAGCACCGTATCTAGAATTCTTTGAGAGCAGAACCGTGCTAATGAACAGTCGTCCAATTCGTCGTCATCGATAGACAAATGAATTAGCCAGGTTGATCTGAGACAAAGCTGAGAATTTGTCCACTGAATGTAGCTCATTAACATTGCAGCTGTCAGTGAACTTCCACTGGACTTGTTCTGATTTATTAAAGCAATTAAAAAATAAACCGTTGGGCTTGGCACGCTCGAACATCCCGAATGACATCATTTCGTTTTTAAAAACTTTTACTTTCAACTTTTGGCATTTGTGTGGTGGCTGGTGCTTAATAAATACTTTTTGTATAACGTTTTCGTTTTTACTTAAACCCGCCCCGAAGACTTCCTCTATTTTCGCCTCCATAAATATCTCCATAGCCGCCGCATTTGGCGATTGTCTTTTTCTAATCACCGACAAGCGATCAAGACCTAATTTGCATTTCTAGATTTTGTATTTTAGATACACACTCATCTCTCTCCCCCTCTATATAGGTTTCAAATTAAAAATTTGCCATAGACATATGCCAACAAAGGAGCTCCATAAATTAATGCGACAACAAAAAAAAACTAGACCTTTTGGGCCTCTAAATATCGAAAGTCAAGCGAGGAGTAGCAAAAAATTTAGTAAAACTGATGAGCCATAAAAGTGAATGGGATAGTCAATAAAGTTCCCTGAACTCTTATGTAAGTTTGTTCTGAGTAGAAGTTTGCCCAGGTCAAAGAAGTTCATTAAAGGGTAGGCCAAAAGTTATTTGGCTAAGAATTTTCTACTTCAAAGGAAAGTTTAATCCTGCCGATTGGTTAAGGGACTTTTTTATCAACCCAATTAGTGTAAAATCTTTTATGTTCTCTTCGAGTTTCCCATCTCCCCTTGTAACTGTAAAGATTTAACTATTCATTCGACACGCTTAACGCTCTATTTTACAACCAAATAAATGCGGTAATTTATTTCAATTGCCTAGAAGTCAGCAGCCAACGCTGTTTGTCATGCCAAACTCGACTTTTGCTACTCCATTTTATGACTCAACTTGCCTACTGGGCGATTAAATCTCTTCAAATTGCACTAAGCAGAAAAAGCGTGGATGAAGAAAATTCCGCGGACTCTTTAAAATTCCGCACAAACAAAGTCGGAGAACAAATTTATAATAAAAAGAATTGTGGGCCAAGATGAGATGCCCTGTCAACGCCGTGCCGCTGGGCATTAACAATATTTTTTCGCCCCCGTCTCTTGGACTTTTTTCTTAACTTTTTTTGTTTGCCCAGTGTACGTGTCTGACAGACTATCTTGGCCCAAAACTGAGGCTTAAGCCGCAGGCGACGGTGATAAATTCCGAAACCCAAAAGCTTAACCCCAAAAGACCAACCGTAGAAGGGGTCATTTTGGCAGGTGACAGAGCGCCAGACTGAAACCATTTTTTCTATCCCAAAATCGAGATTATATCGGCGCTCACTTAGAGCATCATTATGGCACCTTTTGGGGAATTTGGGTGCCCATAAAAAAGAGTAGCAAAAAAACAATTAACAGCTTTGGCTGAATATTATCTAAGAATTCTTTTTTTTTGGCCATAATCAAATTAGCACTCGTTTGTGATAGTCTTTCGTAATGAAGCAAGTCCTTGACTCACGATTTAATTTAGCCTTAACTTTCGCACATATATATTATATAGCATAGTTCCCTTTGGCAAAAAACGTGACAAATGATACAAAAAACGAATTTGCATAGTGCAGACAATAACAAAATCGGCAATAATTTGCATTTAACTCTCTCTCTGAATCTTAGTTAGATACCCAGAAATTCGTTATTTTTGGTAAACAACGTTTTTCCCCCAATGGCACATTTTTGTCCGCTGACTCGTTGACTTCGACTTCTCGTCTGACTTAAAACAACAGAATTTACGAATATCGATTCGATTTCGAATGACAACAATAAAATCCAGCAAAGTGAGGAGCTCATCGAAAAAAAATTCCAGTCAAATAAAAAACTGGGCAATACTTTTGCTTTTGCGTTGTTCGGCTAAACAAATAGTAGTACCTGCGTTTGCATCGGTTGATTACGAAATTGCCGGTATTTGTATTTGTTTGCCTAGAAAAATGCCGGTTGCCTATTATTATTACTATAATCAACCCCCCCTTACTAAGTTGCCTTCAATTCCGCACTTTGGCAAACAAAAACAGTTACCGAAATAGTTATAATTTGACCCGGACTTGTTAACGCTCGTTAAACGAGGAATTCCGTCTTAAATATTGCCTACAAATATTCTATATGCAGTTTCGAGCCCGAGGCCTTCAAACTTGGTTGGTTGCCATGCATTATTATTCGTTTGTAATCAAACAAGCGAAGCAGACATATCTCTCACGTATTTATTGGCATCTCATGTTTGACATTATTTTTAGCCAGGTGCTAAATGTTATTACAAAATAGGAAATTAAATAACAGCTATTTCGGTAGCCAGCCTCCGGCAGAAGAAATCAATTTATTTTAAATAACACGAATTAAGTTTCATAAAGTTTATAGCTTATTTCCATTTCAAAGGCTACAAGGCTTTTTTGTCTATATGTTATTTTAATGGTTTATTAACCTACTAGTGGTGTTATTTTCTGTTCATTTTCAATAATAGTTTTTTTTTTTTATTTAAGATTAACTTACCATGCAAAGAGCTGCACGCGTCATTTTGCAATGAATTTTATGGTTTATTTGACACAAGAAACGCCAGTAAATATTTAGGTATTTAGAATTTAACAACGGAATAAACTCAGTTATCCCTTTTCCAATCTTGAAAAAGAAGAAAATTGATATTTTAGTTGTTTTCAAATCGAAGATTACAGGCACACAGAGTTTTAGCACTATAAGATTGGGAATCTAGCAAAAATATTCCGTCTTGTTTATCCTTGCAATTAGTACAGTTCGCTTGAGGCTCGGATGGCCGTTGATCACAGTGATTTTGTTTAGTATTTACTTTTAGGAGCCTAAACTAGAGCTCATACCGTGGTGACCGATGTGGACGAACTGAAGATGAACGCATCGGGTCTTAGCCATATAAACAGAGGCAGACGCGAAACAAAAAGGCGAAAAAAAAAAAAAAACAAACTCGACACAAAAAGACTAAAAATCGTACTTGAGAGCAGCTCCTAACCAATACACGAACCTGGCTTAAAGTGCGTGAGTGTGTGAGTGGAACGAGTTTGCTTTTTTTTTCGCCGGATTCGTTAATTTATTTGGCCAAGCGCCGGAGAGATGAGCTTGAACTAAGCCACGAAACGGAGACGCGGGTCGTATACGTGATATATTGATCACTCTCTTCGAATCGCTCGGTCTTTCGATATGTTCTCGCTGAGAAATCTCTAGGATCTGCTTGCGTGTCTCAAGAATTTAAGTTCACTTTCAGGTTCTTGAGGGTTCATTAATATTAAAAGATTGATTTTTTTCTTTCTTCTTATTGTTGTTGTTGTTTGTTTTTATTTTATTTATTCTCTTTTATGTTTTATTGTCTTGCGTTTTTGTTTGTTCAAAGAACGTTTTTTGTCTTTAATTGAAAATTCGAGTTTTTCGTGTTTATTTTGATTTAATTTTATCGTTAATCGAAGAGCGATATCTTAGCTATACATAGATAGATAGAATGTTGTTTTTTTCTGGCTCCCGACGTTGAGGTTTTATACTTTGCTAAAAATTATTTAGATGGTTTATTGATTTAATTAAAGCTCTGCAAAAAAAAGAAATAACCAGGCAAGTTTATGTTTGACGCACGTTTTTGCATGATTTCCGTATATACTAATTTTTCTTCCTGTGTATGCAGGGGGGGAGGGGAGTGGGCATAATTAAAATAACTTTGCTGCTAGCCATTGATCACAAAATGAGCCAGAATTTAGATATTTCTAAATCTTGAAATGAACTCACACAGTAGCCAAGAAATTAATCTCTGAGATCACGAACCCAATGTCAGATAGGATTACCAATCCATTTGCCATAATTCAGACACCTTTTCATTTAGTTGCGAAACGCTTCCGTTTGATGATCCGCTTAGTTAGAATGTTTCTCAATATATATTTTTTTGCATTTTTTCTTTAAGAGTTGCTGACATTTAAAGCAAATTTTGCGGATTAAATGGCTCGACTGGCAGAAAACGGGGAAGCAATTTCAGCTTAATACGAAAACTTGGCTTGCTCTTGAATGCAGCAATTGACACAGAAAATAATCAGCTTCTTCGCTCTTGGACATTAAAACAGGATGAATTTAATGACAATGCTTAAGTCAAGGCCAAAGCCCACCAAGTGAAGACAATGTATAAGTATTTTCGACTATAAAAACGAAAATAAGTAAGGATTGTTGGATAGAAAACGAAAGTTGAATACCCTTAAAAAGCTCTTTAAGATGATAAAATAATTTAAATTATATAAAAAAGCCTTTTTATTACCTAAAACATATTAGAAATACTTATTTTTAATACCATATATATTACATTAATTAATTAATAAATTTATTATACCCTTCTGAACCAAAGAGCATTCCCAGTGAAATCGAATATTGGCTCAGCATGCAATCTTCCAGCGCAGCTGGGTCTCTTTTTGAAAAATATATCTACGTGGGCTTAGTTAAAAATTAAAACATATAAATTTTAAATAATATGCCAAAGGCAATATTAAGCAAGGATGCATAATAAAACTTAATTCACGCAACTCACTGAGAAAAACATGAAAAAGAGTCAAATACTTAAATGCATTCTCAGCATTCCTTTTAAATTACAGGCCAAGAATGATGACCTTGACATCGCTTAGTAATCGGGGTATATCTATATCCTCCAAAGCCTTCGACATTCTCAAAGCATTATTAAGATTTTTTTTTTTTTTGGTTTTTTTTGCAGCTTTAAGTTGACCGAAAAAAAGGAAAAACGAAATGAAGCATTTAAAACTCGCTGCTTTTGTTTTGCTTTAATTTTATTTCATATGTAAATGCATTTTTGACAGCGTTTCATTGACAGTAAAATTATTAAACATAATTTCGAGATAAGCCTCAAAAAACAGCAAGTGGGCAAAGTAATTTTCAAGCAGTGAAAAGGCACAAAGAAATTTTACACATAAATATTTAAATTGAGTTTAATCCAAATTTGAGCTCCGTCGAATTTAAATATATATATATATATATTTTTTTTTTTGCAAATTTTAGCCCACACAAAATTTATTTTTTATGACCACAACGAGTCACACAATACATGAGTTTCTTTTTATTTTTTTTTGGAAACGACCTTTGAGAGAACAAAACCCCAAAACGAAAAACTTTTAGCTATCATCAGTCGCAAAACAAGTTAAATTTTTGTTAATCAAATTCATATGCCGGCGAAACTATCAAGAAATCAAAAATATAAATAGAAATATACAATTTTAACAAGCCCAAGTCAAGTTCGATATGGAAAAAGGAACAAGAAATGAGCAACTTTAACCCGAGATCAATATTTCATCCGAACAAAGAATCCGAGGCGAGTCAGTGAGTGAGTGAGCTACGCAATGGCCAACATTTTTGTGGTACACACACAGAATATGTACATTGAGCACCAAATTTAGAAAGCCTACCAAAACCAATTTGTTGCAGTCTCACTGACAAAATACCAAAAGTCAACGCCTCTGACTCAAGTCGATGAGATGAGATGAGATGAGATGTTGCGTCAAGATGGGGGGAATCGTTACCATAAATCGTTCAGTCGAATGGCTTGATCTACAGCCAATGAGTCATGGTTGTGTGCAGGGCAAGTCCCTTGATCCCTGGCCATGTTGCATGTTGCATTCGACGACGACGACCTTCACATATCAGATATTAACGTATATTCCCATCTCCATCCCATCTCCAGCAGCTGTTTCCATCCTGCAGTCGCACGCATCGATGCTTATGTAACCGGAGTTGAATGACTTTTCCATGTTGCCCTTGTGCAATCTTGGTCCCAAAAATAAATCAACTATGAAATCCTGAATCGCCCCTTCTCGATGGTTCTTCTCCCGCCACTTCCGGGCATATCGTGTGGACTTTAATTTCAGTTTGATTAAAAAAAAGAACGCCCTGTAATCCTTTAATGTCAGGCTAACCGTTGAAAGGAGAAGTTTTTTAGGGGCTGCCCAAAGTGAAAGGCAAAAAAGTATCTTCGCGGATGCGTCAGAGATGCAAAGCAAAAGATACATTTACATCCGTTTGCAATTTTCGCAGAGTTTAATGACAGCTGGGTATTTTGCCCAATTGACGGTCTTGAGAATAATTTCGTAATTATATCATGAAATTCTTTTGGAATTTCTCAAGAGCAGATTGGATTTCATATTTAAGGAGTGACTAATTAACCGGCATAACTTAGCTTGATTTTCTGGTAGTTTCTATTTTTCTAGACGAACTAATTTTGCATGATGTCATCTAAGATGTTTCATTATAAATGCATTAGTCAAATTTGTAATAATCAAAAGAATAACAGGCCTATGATGTGGTTTTCGGCTAAAACAGGAGCGGAGTCAAAAGATCGGAGTTCGTTTTGGGTTACTTTATTTAAAAATGTGTTAAAATAGTAATTACGGCGTACATATCAGGTACTGTTATTAAAAATATGATTGTTCTTCTTTTTATTATTATTACTATTGGTTTATTCCTTTTAAAAGCCCCCAATTAGTACCTCCAATCCGCCCCTGTTCACAGCTCTGGTCATCACACAATACGTGAGAAATTCACGAGAGTGAAAAAGAATTCGCGGCCAATTAAGAGTTGAAATAATGCCAAGACAAATGAGGACCGGCTCTGATGGAGTGACAGCCCGCAATTGTCTTAGGCAGTTGGCCAGAAACATAATCCGCCTGGCCATCTTATCAATGATATCAGACACCAAGAACTTGTTTGGCCAAGGTGGAGGTTGTAGTAGCAGCTGGTAACATATAAACAAATCATTTGCATACAAATTGTTGCCAAACGCTAAGGGGAACATTAAAACCTCTTGTAGCCAAGTTAATTTGTGGTAGAGGGAACCTCCTCCGAGGGTGGTGCACATTTCAAGGCCTAACATGGTCAGACAAAACTGCAAACAAATTTCTTTCCACATGTTGCAATCAATCAATACACCTTTGTTTCGTTGGACTGTCAACACCATTGCGAAATATATTCACTTCCATGGATTGAATTTAATTTTTTACTTCCGTTTCGAGTGCCCAAAAACTGGAGATACACTTTGACCAGAGCTTATGTGGGCTTACGTTTTGGGCTAATATTTGCCTAAGCCCGGCATTAAAACTATAAATATTTATTAATTTATAAGCGAAGCGTATTTGTTTGAATTATGACACCAAATTAAGCTCACACGAAAATAAGCCGCAACTTTAAGTGGTCAAGATTCAGAAATACCTAAAGATGAGAGATTGTCTACAAAGCTTGAGGATTCCTTGGGTCCCACCACTTAAAATACCTTTCAAACGCCTCACCTGCTAGTTAGATTTGTTATCTTGTGATTTATTGAAATATAATGCGTTGCTTAGATATTATTTTCTGGCCAGGAAATACAAGCCCAAAAACGCTTAAACCTGAACTAAAAAAACCAGCAAAATAACATATAAAAACGGTGGCATTGAAGCTTCGCACAAAATAAAAGCAAAGATTAATTTAAACTAAAGTAAAGAAGATTTCAAACTAAAAAACATTTTAGAGGCCCAAAAAGTTGACCATCTCCGTTGTCACATTTTGATATTAATGGGGAGCGAAAAGGCAAAAATATACATAAAACAACAGCAAACATTTTACGATCTATTTCGGGTAGGAAAAACAGAAAATTAGCATAGAAATAATTCAATTAGGTAACTTTGATCCATTCTCAGGTTTGTCATTAGCACACAAAGATCACTTTAAATCAGATCATAAAAAAATCTTGCAAAATATCAAAATTTAAAACCCAATCAAGAACAGTCGCAAACAACTGAACTTTTTCGATGGGCGGACCACAAAACCACATTCTCTATTTTTTGTTCGTTTTTTTTCTTTCTGATTTTGTGATTTTGATTTTAATCAAAGTTCGTTTGGTAGCTGGTTTTATTTGCCAAAAAAAATTGTCTGATTTGATGCGGGCAAAATGTGTGCGCATAAATTAGAATATGAAATTTTAGTTTAGTTTTAAAAGCTTGAACTTGTTTTTGGCCGCCATTGAGTGTTAATAGGACTTTTCTTCCATAACTAAGACGAGTTTCTTATCTGAAAGTGTTATGAAGTGTCTTTTACATAAAAGTTATGGCATTGTCTCAGGTTTTTGTATTAGGTTGCTGCCCCCTCCGAAAACCACCCATCCTTCCTAAGTTTAAAGGCATATCTAATGATCTGTTGGCTCAGCACTATTTTGGTGACGCCAAAGTTGCGTGTCCGGATTGGCCACTTGTGGCTATTGGGGCTGGGTCATTTGAATGATAATATCTAAGAGCGACAGAATTATGGTCAGCCAGAGGATACTGGTTATGCTGTGATATAATATTCTATAATAACTAAGCATCGAGTTAAACTAAAAGCCACCAAACTGTCTCAGACGCCCTGCCACGTTCGTCTATTTTAGGTAACTGTGTGAAGTTCAAGGAACTTGCTGACGCACGCCCCTCGTATATACTTATTCTGAAGATGGTGTCAAATAAGAGGTGAAACTTTGAATGGTTAACTTCACGGGTGGTCCTAACGATTCTCAAGATTTATTTTTGGATGTGACATTTCACCTGTCAAGCAGTGTTTTAACATATGTTAAAAACTTGGCCAACGAAGATTTACAGAAACGCTAATCTGCTTAAAAATTCATTTGATTTCAGCGAAAGTCTGCAAGGCAAAGAACAAAAATTTGAATAATTCAAAATTTCTGAAGAAAGACTTTCACTTTTGTTTCCCTAAGAACTTTCGTTGAAAATATAAATAGAAATCATTAAATACCCTAACATATAAATCAAACTTAAAATTTTGGGGTTTTTTATAAGCCAAACAGTTAATTCCTTGTCTTAACACATATAAATACAAGTTATTTCATTTTATCTTTCCGCTTTCGTTTGGCTTCAAAGAACAAACCCCTTTTTAAATAAACCAGACAATCAGATTCATTCAACTCCATAAAGAAATGTTCCAGCTTTTCGATTGCATATTCATGATGCAAACTTGCTTTTTTTTTATGAACACTATCGCAGGTCTTATGAAACTTTTATAAGCATGCTAATCTCGTTTAGGATTTACACTGAAAATACCCAAAACAAGAAATTAAATAAATTCCTCATTAATTACCCACGTCAGCAGCAGTCACAAGTTTATCAAGATTCCACAAGACAGTCAGTCCTTTTTCTTGGACTTTAAACAAAAAAAAAAAAAAACCATTTAAACATTTAAGATCAGAATACCAGAAAGGAAAGCTCTTAAAACTGATGAAACCCATTAACTGGACAAGGTAATCCGGCAGAAGTCGTTCCAAATGCCTCCGACCAATTTGTGTAAAGTGCCATAAAAGTTGTTCTATTTCGAAAATAAAATTAAATCGAGATGTCCATAAAGTTTTAATGAGCCCAGACTCAATCAATATTTATTGATGACCAGCAGCCGCACTAACCAAACTCCACAAAAAGAGAGTGGTTTTTGAGGAAAGTTTGCGTGTGGCAAATAGTAATCAATCTAATGGCTTTGCTTATTTATTATAAACAGTTTATTTTTGTGACTTTTGCGTAATCGCAGGCCAAACTCTCAGTTTCGATTTGAAGTTTTCTTATTCCCAAAAACAAAACAAAATAAATACCACCGACAACTCTTAATTTCAATGTGTATAAGCGTTCATTGACGCTCGATTTGATTGAAAATATTATGCAAAATGTTTCTTTGTGGCCAAAGCGATGGCAATTAATCTCTGGCCAGCGCCTAAGAACAGGTATATTGCCTTTTGTTAATGAAGCCCCGTCGCGGGCACGAAATTAACTTCAGATTCTGGTTCCTCTCATCATGTTCTACTGTACGAATATGTTGTGATGGCAGCATTTTATGCAAATGGAAAATCTTGAAACCTCTTTAAACAAATTAAGAAAAAATTTATTCTCCTTTAGTTTGATTCTTCTTTTTATCTAATAAAATGTATTAAATTAATATATTAATTTTAATTTATCATTGATGAATTCATGTATAAATTAGTTAAGACATATACTTTGGCCACATTATAAATAATAATGATTTCGGTGTTTAAGTTAATTTCCCATGAACATTTTATAATTACCGCGGCTTTTAAATCACTTGTAATCAGCGATTTGCTCCCAAAGGGGATTTCAAAGCTGTCAGTCAATCAAATTGAATGTGCAAAGCAGAAGAACCCTGAACAAGAAATCCGTGCGGCGAAAACTCGACAATTTTCACACACAGTCAGTTTGGTTTAAGATGCGTTTATTTTTTTTTTTTTCAAAAGTTCTTAATCCGTTCCGTGTGATAAGTGAAGTAAGCCGATTTGTTTGCCAGTCTAACGGAAAGTGAGGTCACCACCGATGTAGTGGATATATCTCGATATGGTGGCCATAATAATAAAAACCGTAAATAAATTTGCGTTTAGCACATATTTTTGTGCAGTTTTCTCAACACCAAGGCTACGGGCGACTGAGTCAGTCATGGGGCATCGTGGCATCGAGGCATCCGGTTTGAATCGACTTCATTTTGCGCTAATCAGATCTATAGCGAATGTGCACGCTAATCCATCCATCAACATCATCAATCCGAACGAACTATCTTCGGCGAGATTTCACGCTTCACCAAGTCCTCACAATCTTAATCGCTTAAAAGATCCATTTTTCTTTCCGTCTCTTCCCTGAATGTCATTGCCAAGTCGGGTCTCAAAATCGTGGGTGGGGTTTTTTTTTCTGATCGATATTTCTTACCACCTGCCTTACTAATTATGCCTTTATAAGTCTGACAAATTAATATATTTCATTTTGTTATGGTTTCCATTTAAAAGACTTTTTTAAGTGACTCGGGTGAGTTGAGTCAGAGATTGTTGACAAAATGATCTAATAGTCTAGTGGGTATTCGGATGATTTAAAAAGGCCTTAAACCTTCGCAGGTTAAATATTTTATTCCATGGCTTTTTAAATGCACCATTAATCACGTATGTCCGTGTCGCAAGCCTAAGATATTTGAAAGTCACCCTTGCCGAAGATCGATTATTGAATTAAATTTAATATGCCTTCTATTTTGCAGTATAACATATCATAAACTAAAACTAGTTCTTATTAATAATTTTTTGAGATGACATTTACTGTTCTAAAATGATTTCTCGGGGATTTTTTGAATTCGTTTATAGAAATTTATGATTCTTAGAAATTTTACTTCCTGCTTTGGATGACACACTCATTTAAATTTATCTGGTCTTAAGTAATCTAATCTATGATACATTTACCAAGTAGACTGCCTTCAGCCCATTGAAATCGTAACAATATCCTATTAGAAACAATCAGAATTGTTAAATTTATACAAAAGCCATTACAATTTGGTATATCTTTTTTATTTAGATACCCTGATTTCATCAATCATTAACAAATAATCCGACACAAAAAGATAACTTCGAAATCGTTGGGTTGACACATGGTGCAGCCCACAATCGCTGGCATATCAATTGTTACCCCAGTAAACTGATGCATATCCGACTCATTGCCTCAGCTGCTACAAAAGCTGACAACAAAAAGTTTGTTTCGGTTTTCCCAAAATGCAAACGCCATGGGAAAACTAAGTCGAATGCACCAAAGTGGGGATGAGATGCATTGTTTCGGTTTTAGTTTTGGACCCAAACTGCCTTGAACCCGCTTTAAAGATGCATTCAGCTGTTGTATACAATAAAAACTTTATTATTCTTCGCTTTAGCTAAAAGTCGTTTGTACATAAAACATGTTACAAATATTATTGTAAAAGGGGGTAAAAGATGTTTGTATTGCTTTTAAAAACATTGCTAAATTCTTGAAGTTTAGATATGTTACAAATACTAGTTTTGTGCATTGGACGGTTAAAAGTACAACTTACTTATTAATTACCTTTAAAAGAAGGCATTTTTGTGCGGAATATTCGATTACAAAAGAGAATGTTCTTATAGATAAGGGACAGAATTCGCTTAGCTTTCTCTGGGTCACTTAATTAAGGCACTAGCTTAGCTGAAGTTTATGCAATCCAATGGGTTTTATGGGCATCATCGCAGGCAGGCCGATCAGGTATATAACAATAAATGGTTTTTAGGCACTATGAACTATACAAAAATAGTTCTCTCTAATTAAGGCACGAGTGTAATATTTCGTTGCTAGTTTCAACTAGCCTGCGACTTTGCAAAAAAAATACGTACAATTGTTGAGGGGGGAGTGGTGGTTGTCTCAGGGCGTCAATTGAGCGAAAATTGATATGCAAATACTGTAGAATACTCTACATGAACATGAGTCATCTGGTTGAGCGTCTTCGTTTGATGGTAGCGGTGCTTGTGATTTTCATTCGGAAAAACATTCAGTCTTCGTTTGGAACTGATTTGGTCGATTGGATGGATGATTAATAAGTACCAAAAACTGAAGGCTTGTAATATGAGTGCGACTGTCAATTGCATAAACTTTCTTATCTAAAAACTACATTTACAGTCGAACTTCTCTGAACTCAATTTTCTTTAGGTTTCTAGGCACGAAACATGACATGACATTTTTCAGTTAAACTAATTTACATTTCTGGGTTAAATACTTTTTTGAAACTAATATATGGCAAACACACACTTCTGCATAAACAGTTTTATAGTTATTAAGTTTATGAAAAACTGAAGACAAGCCTTATGAAGATATCTTCCTAAGAGGTTTCTAATTATAGAAAAACTAATTAGAAGAATTACTAATACTTTCGAGCTAAGAACATAAAAACATATAACATTTAAGAACGAAACTTTAACTTTCAGAAAATGTGAGTTTGGATGTTTTGTCTTTTAGAAGTTCGACTGTAATGATTGGGGTGAGAATTCTTCGTGGGGACGGAATGTGTTTGTTTTGTTTTCCTCTTAATTTGCTTGTAATTTCCTTGGTGCAAGTATGCCAGTTGCTGCGACTGAAAGAGACAATGCAAGAAGGTTAAGCCACTGACCCTGACTTTAATATAGTCAAGTACTCACCTGCGACTATCCGCGCACCAGTTCGAATCGCGTCTGCGATTCTTTGAACTGTATCCTCTTTTTGTGCTGAACATGAGCTTCAGTAAGGAACAAAGTGGCTGCCACCAGGGTAAACACTGTACCCACACATGCCAGGACGAAGGACCAGCCGAACCAATTATTTGCATGCTCCGGCATCCAACCATTCCGGTTGCCAAATACAGCGAAAACTATCACCGCAATGGCTGCACTTACCCCGGCTCCAAGTAGCACGTATCCCACTGACTTGATCAGTGTTATGAAATGCTTCTGATCCGGACCAGCACAAAGGACGAATATGAGCACCCCAATTGCAGACAGTAACATTCCAATGAAAGCCAAGGTGTAGAAGAACTGAGTGGCTATCATGAAAGCGGGCAGCAGGAATCCTCGAATCTCATCGTAGCCCGGGGTAAATGGGTCATACACCCAGCGACAACCCACGAAGAACCTCCGTTGACTATCGTCATTCACATCCTGTAGCGACCGGAAGCAGTGCACCCACAATCCCAGGCGATCCAACTTGGCGCCCGTGATGCGGTAATCACTGACCAACCAACTGGGCGTTGCAAATGCAATCACAATGAAGGCAAAAGCAAACACGAAGACGCCAACGCCACAACTTCCGGATAAAGTACGTCTCTTCATGTTCACAATGTGGGTATGCGTTTGGCTGCTGGGTAGACGCTCCTGGGAATCTTCGCGGGCAAAGTGTGACGATTTTTGCATCCTTTGATTGAGGAAATTCTATTGGAATTTCACTGCTTCCCTGAAATGTTTGTTTGGCTGCTGTTTTGGGTGTGGACTGGCAATCGGATTGGCTCAAGCTGGCTATCGATAACAAGCAGGGTTGCATTCGCTACATTACAGAGCCGAGCTCTGTTACGGGGTTCAGGTACTGCACACACGAGGGCGCCACTTTTACATGTATAAATTATATTTGAAAATTATTTTCATAAATTAAAATCACACTTGTAAAATATGATATATTTTGGTTATATTGTCAATAAAAACTTATATTAAAAAGGCCTATCCGTTTTAAATGCTAATGTGCGTCGTGATAATCTGGAAGACATTCTCTCCTTGATCAAAATTACCCTTAATTAAGGGCAGCCACGGCCTTGTGGGCGGCATCATCCAAGTCACTGGCCGTCTGAATGGGCAAACCCGAATTTTTCAGGATCTCTCGAGCTTGATTCACATTGGTTCCCTCCAATCGCACTACCAATGGAACATTCAGTTGCAACTTCTTCGAGGCAGCCACAATGCCATTGGCAATTGTGGCACAATTGACAATTCCGCCAAAGACATTGACAAGGATTCCCTTGACTTTCGGATCAGCGGTAAGGATCTCAAAAGCCTTGGCAACCTGATCCTCTTTGACACCACCTCCTACATCTAGGAAGTTGGCGGGCTCGCCGCCATTCAGTTTAATGATGTCCATGGTGGCCATGGCCAAACCAGCGCCATTCACCAAGCAACCAATGTTACCATCCATGGCGACGTAATTCAAATTATATTTGGCAGCCTCTACTTCACGGGGATCAGACTCCTCCTCGGTGACGTCCATGGAGAAAATATCCTTTTGACGGAACTGGGCATTATCGTCAAAGTTAAGCTTGGCATCAACTGAGATCACTTCTCCCTTATCGGTCTCCGCCAGCGGGTTAATTTCAATCTGTACGGCATCAACCGCCTTGAAGAGCGTATAGAGTTTCTGGATTTCCTCGGCACAACGCTTCACGGCATCTCCCTTAAACTCCAAGAACTTGGCCACCTCCAAGAGCGTTGCCTCCGGAATGGGCTTATCAATGTTCAGGGGGACAGTCTTAATTTTCTCTGGGGTTTCTTCGGCCACTGCTTCGATATCCATGCCTCCGGCAGGTGAAGCAATCAACACGGGTCCATTGTGCTCGCGATCCAGCAAGATGCACAGATAAGTCTCCCGGGTGATGTTGATACTGCGTGCCACCATGACCTTGTTGACCAGAATTCCCGATTTCGGCGTTTGTTTCGTTATCAGCCGGTTTCCAATCATCTGCTGGGTGAGCGAAAGCACTTCGCTCTTGCTGCCGAAAGTACAATCAATTATATTAGCTCGCCTTATCTATTATTATTTATATTATTTATGTTCTCGGCTTCACATAAAATTATAAACTCGATTATAAACAAGTTACTATAAAAACATATTAGGAACTGATTATTATTTCAGGAAAACTTCTTTTAATATAAATATTTAAAATATAAAAAATTTGAAGAAAATCTCTGAAGTGAAACCGGAACGGATACTATTTATCTTACTTTGTGGTAATATGCACGCCGCCTTTGAAACCGCTGTCAAAAGTTCCCTTTCCACGCCCACCGGCAAGAATCTGCGCCTTGACCACATATTCCGGGCACTCTGAAAAGCCATTTAACATAAATTAGTCAAGAGATTACATAAACACCGGCATGGTTCCTCCACTTACCAAAAGTATTAACCACCTCTGCATCGGCCTTGGAGTTATCCAAAACCTTAAATTGCTGGATGGCCACTCCATATTTCTGGAGGAGATCTTTGCTTTGGAATTCCAGGAGATTCAGATGACGAACGGGCACCTATCGTGGAAAGATAAACAAAGCGAAGACAAAGGTCAAACTCAACTTCTCTTTTGTGAAGAGTTGGGAACATATGTTCGGAAACCTTATGAACGATTTGACGGGCTGCGGCGGCTGCTTTAATTAGGAACGACATCTCGGTTGTTCTTGGCTGTTAACTGATTATTTTTGCAAAATGTTTATTAATTTATTTTTATAACCGGCCCACTTTATCGGCAATAATTGTTTAAAAACACAACCAAAAGTCGCCGCCGTCCCCACGATGCTTATCAGATTTCAATGTGACCAAGTACATTCAATTTTGTACGAAGTGATTTAAATTCACCACGTAAATTATTTTTAAATTGCCATGAAGCTGTTCTTTATCCTAAAACAGAAATAAAGTAGTTTCTTTATTACAAAAAATGTTCTCTTCATAAACATTATTATGTTATTAACTAGTAAAAATACCAAAATGGAACTAGTAAATACCATTTCAATTCTGATATCAGCTGTTTATCCCAGCTGGCTTTGTGTACTTTTTTCGGCTTATGGTCACCGAAGAATGAGCAATAACCTATATTGAATGCAAAACCTGAGTGAGGTGGAAGCCGCAGTTACCATGACGGAACGTGTAGTTTACGAATCGCTGCCCCAGATCCCGGTGGTCACCTCGGTGATCTGCTGCTTGGCGCTAGCCATTCTCTACGTGGGAAGCCTCTACATTTGGAGCACAAAACACAACCGGGATCATCCAACTACGATAAAAAGAAGATTTGTCAGTGTCTCCATGGTGATGGTTGTGGCACCATTATTTGTTTATTACTTCTCATCACCAGAACTTCTTAGCCGGGAGTCATTTCCCAAGTTATTGGGATTCCGATTGGAAGGATTATGGCAGGCTGTGGTGATACCTTATAGTCTGACAGTGCTACTCTTCATTGGACCCATCTTTGTCAACATGCAAAATGAGTCAATTCGCTCCTATTTCGGTTTGTTAATAATATATACTTAGTCTATTTACAAGAGACTGAAACCAATTTTTTTATCCTAGATCTGGACTACTGGCGAGGATCTTTTAGCAGCATAATCTGGGTGCGCAACCATGTGATGGCCCCTGTAAGCGAGGAGTTTGTCTTCCGAGCCTGCATGATGCCCCTGATCCTGCAGAGTTTCTCCCCATTGGTCGCCGTTTTTATAACTCCACTTTTCTTTGGAGTTGCCCATCTGCATCATATAGCCGAGCGATTAAGTTTGGGAGTTGAGCTGAGCACTGCCTTGTTAATAGGACTGTTTCAGTTCATCTACACCACATTGTTTGGATTCTATTCCGCCTTTTTATTTGCCCGAACGGGTCACGTTGTGGCACCAATTTTGGTTCACGCATTTTGCAATCACATGGGTCTTCCAGATTTGCAGGATTTGTGGCAACAGGATCTTTGGCGCCGAATTGTGGCTATTGTCCTTTACATAGCTGGATTTGTTGGATGGATTTTCCTGCTGCCTCTGGCTACTGTTCCTTCGATGTACGAAAACACGCTCTACTGGAATGTTTAGTCTAAGTAAGGGAGTTCATCAACCGCTGCCATAAAGAAAATTAAAATATACAGAAATATTCTTGTAGGTATCATGGCCAGAGCTGAAATTCATATCGGAACAAGCTGATAGTATGCACAATATAACCGTAGTAAGAACTATAAAAACGAAATGCATTTGTAGAAGCATTCTTTTCATGATAGCTACATATATGACTATAAGTCCATGCAGTCCTAAGCAGTTTTCACCTGGACTTAAAAAAGACTAAGTTTTATTGTTTTATCAAATAGAAAATTTAAAGTGGATGAGGTCTATATTCTGTTTTAAATGAATTATCTATTAATAAATAAAATGCCGTATTTTTACTTTGTTATAAAAAACAATGCAATAATTCTTAATTTTCAAAAAAAAATGTTGACTTTAAATTTACATTCTTGGCGGGCAGCAGAAGTACCACTGGTTCCTCAGAACCAATGAATTAGAATCGGTCATTTACCAACACTTATTTATAAGGAGACGGATTGTCCTTATTTTTATTGGCGTGGAAGCTAACATAATAGTTTATATTTGTTTTTTTTTTTAACTAATTATTTTCAATAAATTATATAATGAACTGCAATTTTATAAAAATGCTTTTGACGCAATAACAGTGCTCATTTGAATTTAGAGGCAAATACGGATTTTTTAGGGGTAATAAGTGAACCATTTGACTTAATCTGGTAACACTGACCTTTACAATGTTTAGAGATTTTAAGGTACTTTGGGTAAATATGTGATAATTTTAAACGACGCACAACAAGCCAACGACTAAACGAGCCGAAAACCGAGAGGTCAGCGCCAGGAGGCCCAAAAAGAGGTAATCCCAGCGAGAAAAGATCCATTTAAGACCAGTCAAAACACATCTTTCGACTGCTGACGTTTTTGGTCTTTGCCCAGGACTACTGTAGATAGTAATTATAGAACAATTAAGACTAACCTCGACCCCCTGGGTTTTCCTGGGACTCTTGCAGGCCGCGCGGAAGACCACGTCAGAGCTCTCGCGACTAGAACCCAGAACCTAAACAAAACAAAAACACACCCACCCGCACACAGAATGTATTGCCTACAATGCCTGCTACCCGTATTACTGATACCGAAACCCACGAATCCGGCGCTAATGGAAACCCACGTTATGTTTATAGTACTCTACCTGGTTGGGTTCTTCCTCGAGCGAAAACCCTGCACCATCTGCAGCCTTGTATTTCTCACAGCCGTATCACTTATATGCTACAGTGGCGTCGGAAATTGCATCTTTTGGGGCAATTGTGAGGGTCATCAATGTGAGAATGGCTAGAAGAAGTCATCCCATTCAACCATTATTAAAGTACCCCAGTAGTTATAGTCAACGAAGAGATGAAGTGCTAATAATAATAACTACCTAATTATGGAATTACGTTCGCGTTGTTACAGCTTTACATCCTAGAAAAAAATCAGAGAAAATCGGCGGAGAAAAGGCAGATATAGAGGATATGGTTAACTTGACTAAATCAGTGAAATCAGTGATACAAGTGATGAGTGAGTCCGACCAGGAACAAAGATTGTGCGTTTAGATCCATTATATTATTTCCACCGCCGTATATATGTTTCCTTCATAATTCTTTTGGTTATGAACATGTAATATTGTATTCAAGCGTGTCTTTTTGTTGTTTTTAAGGCCTAGACAAATTTAGTTTTAAAGAAAAAATAATAACGCTACGAAAACGTATTGTACATCACCCCACCCAAAACCCTAACCCTAACCCTCTAAAAATCAAAACAAACCGCTACACACCCCACTTGTCAATGCAACATACGATTAGTCATATATGTTATATTATACAAGAAGTAATTGTAAAGAAAATTAAGAAGAAAAAAAAAACAAATCCATTGCGCATCCTTGCTGAGCCAACGGAAGCTGCTGACATCGGTTGTTATTACCCTGTCTTGTGCACATGCAACACTGTATATACAAGCATATAACTTACACTGATCAATATATATACATATATATATATATATTATATACATAAACTGTAAACGAGAGACAAGCACAAAAATGTAAAAACGAGGAAATGCGGGAGATTAAAGGATATACAAAAAACATTGTTCGATTTATGCGAATTTGCATGACTTGGGTGATACCTCAAAGAATCAAAATCGTGGGTAAATAGGTAATAAAATAATATTTAAAAAATCAAAGGGTGTTTGAATATATTTTTTTATAACAACGAGAATGAATAAGCAGTGAGTAAAGTTCTTGTAGGAGTTTTAAGTTTCCTCCCCTGAACTAAATAAAAAACACTTCATTTTTGATTTCCAATTATCCACAATTTTATTCGCTTCAAAATGTGTGTTTGTGTGTATATAGTATATATATTCATATAAAATGTACAAATTTCTCTTAGCTGTCGTTGGTTTTAGAATTTGATTATATCAAGATCAGATCAGCTTCAGCTTCTTTCTTAATTTACTATCAACTACACAAGACAATTAATTAATTAAAAATACGATAATAATTTATGTACAAAAATTTCCATCGGATTTATTCGTGTGTATGTGAAAACAAAACTGTAGACAATTCAAAAAAAACTGAAGAAAAAAAAACACTTAGAAAATTTTCAAAATTTCCTTTTTTTCACAGGATATTGCTTTCCGTTTTTGTGTTTGTTGTTGTTGTTGTTGTTGTTGTTGTTTTGGAATGTTATACACGCAGTTATTATAAAATATACAAATATGATATATAGAGAAAACGTTTTTAGAAGAAGGCCAAAAATGTTTAAAAGGAATATTTAAAACTTTTTGATTTTGTTTTGGTTTTTACGTTTACTTTTTTAAGCTGCTTTAATAACAAAACAAATCGAGACGACCTGGTTACAATTCAATAGATTCTTGGGGTTTAGTTTGGGGACATGATGACTCCTTCTCCTAGTTCTTCTCGTTCTACCCTCTCGTCGAGATTCGATTCGCACAGCAGCAATCACAGGCGTGGTCTTCTTGTTACTTAAACGGAACGAGGCTGGACGACTGTGGATACAAATTAACAATTTGTGATTATTAATTTGTGATTTAGAAAAAAATACATATTTATTCGGTGATTAATCTATATTTTTTCTCATTTTTATCAGGGATTTAATGAAGGTAAAATGCTGTCTAAAGATTAATTACATTTGCTAGCAGTAATTAATAAGACTATTAATTCTTAAATCTGGTTTAAAATTCAATCAATTTCAATTTCCAATCTTTGGATAAAAAACTAAGTAAAAAATGAAAAATGAGATTTAATTTCAAGTCTAATCTGTTTTTTTATAAATATTCATTAAATTGATTACGTTAAAAAAGTAAAAATTGCTAATTTAACATTTAATTTAAAAACAGAAAAAGTACTCACAGTGAGGTCGCTGGGACTCTTCAGGGGCAGCGGCTCCTCCCTCAATGGCCTGCATCATGGGCACCGGGATGCGGACAGGCTGGGCCAGACTACGGCCATAGACCATGCGTCCGAAGGGCAGCTGCTGGGGCTGATCGGGCATGGGCGGGGTCATGGTATCACGTGGCTGCTCAGGCAGGGGCTGCAGGATCAAGCGCTGAATGCGCATCTGGGGCACCTGCTGTTCCTGTGGCTGCTGCGGCTCCTGGCTGACTTCCTGGTGCTGCTCCTCCTGCTGATGCTGTTCAGGCTGGGTGGTCTGCTGTGGCTGCTGCACTGTGGTCTGGGCCTCGGTGGTGGCCTGTTCGGCAGAGCTGGAGACATCCTCATCACTGCCCTCGTTGGACTCGGCACCCTCTTCGGCGGCCAGACGACGCAGTTCATCGGTGATGCGATCCTCAGCCATGCGCTGGATGTTCCTGAGATCCTCGGCGGTGATGCCAACACGCTGCAGAGCCATTCCAAAAGGCATGGGCTGGATTTGGATCTGGGGAATCTCACGCTGCTCCTGACGCTGTTGCATCTCCTGGCGCTGCTGCATCTCCTGGCGCTGCTGCATTTCCTGACGCTGCTGCATCTCCTGACGCTGCTGCATCTCCTGACGTTGCTGCTGGGCGGGAATCTGGACGGGCACATCATCGGCCACATGGATCTCACGGAAGGGGATCTGCTGCATGTGAATACGCAGAGTCTGGACCTTGGGCATCTGCATCTCCTCGGAGGATTCCATGCGAGGGGCCTGGATCACCTGTGGTGGCATTGGTGGACGCATAGGCAGATGCTGGAATGGAGGAGGCAGCTGGCGGATGATGATGGGACCCTGCTGTTGCTGAGGCAATTGCTGGTGCATCTGCATGGCTGGAGGCATCATTCTCTGGGGCATATGGGTCAGAGGCATCTGATCGGGAATGCGTCCGAAGGGAATGGGCACACGCTGGAAGGGAATGAACATGGGCCTCAGTGGCTCGGCATCCTCATCGGAATCCTCTTCCTCCTGTTCACGCTGACGCTTGGCCTCCTTCTCTTCCTTTTCCTTGTCATCGCCGCCGTCGCAGAAGATCGAGATACGCTCGCCCGTGATGCGGGCCTTCTTTGGATCCGTGGTCAGGTTGACTCCGAAGGGCAGGGCAACCGTCTTTGAGGGCGAGTCGACGATCTCCTCGGCGTGCTTGCGCTCCACCACACAGTTCATGCGAGATCTGTAGAGAAAGTGAATAATTTTATAGAAATTAGAAATGTCATTAGGATATCTAACTAATAATAGTTTAAAATATTATTTTTTATTATCCATTTTTTGTTACTTACTTCTTGTTGTTGCGCAGAATGGCGGCAGCCAGGTCACTCAAGTCCAGCTCGAGCGGCATTTTGCCGGGGTACTTCTGCAGCTCATCGGTCTCATCGCTGTCGGAGTAGGAGTTATCCTTGTCGGAGTGCTCCTCGGTATCGTGGGTGGCTACAGTCTTGCGACTCTCTGGCTCCAGATTCTGCAGTTCGGAGTCATCGGATGATCCAGCAGCAGCGCCCAGCAGGGGTTCAGCACGGGGAAGTTCCTGAAAAGCAAAGATAATAATATTATTAAATAATATAATAAAATCAATAACTTTAAGTACTTATTTGCTTACGTCACTTCCTTAACCAAACAGCCCTACATCACCAACTCTTACTGAACCCCAATTTTCAGTCTTAGATCATCGTGTACGATTTTATATCCCCCAATTTTCCACCGTTTTGTCGTAAAATTGTCAAAGTTGTTCGAGGCCCTCAACTGAAACTGAGTTTCTGTTTGTTTTCGTTATTTTCTTGACTGTGATTTTTACTGGTTTTCTTGCCAGCTCTTCGTGCTCGAAACAATGAGGGGCAGAGACCCGACCCGGTGGCAGTCATCGCAGTCAATTGCCCGGCGGAGATGTGACCCCAACCTACATACTGGCTGGAAACCAAAAGTAAAATGCCATCGGAATAAACTTGTTGTTGCCGCGGCTCGAGAAGTCTAAACAAAACAACGAAACAGCCACGAAATTACATAATCGCACACTCAAACAAATGGCTATATCTGAGCTGTAACCGAGTGGATCGTGGCTAAGCAAAAATTCATGCCCAGCCACAATGGCCGCAGAAATAAACAAACGAAAAATAAATTTAAATTATATGAACCTCATTAATGCCAAGCCACGGCGAATGAGGGGGAGTTAGGAGTTGGGTGGAGTTAAAGCGGGATAAAGCTGATTTGGATAATGTTTTATATATCCGGTTTGTGGATGGCTTATTTTGCAGGTCACCGTGTACTTGACAAAAGATGTTGACATTGAACTGAGACGAGTTCTCTTCGGATTTCCTCTAGATGGTTGAGTTATGTATTTAGATTTTTAAAGATTCTTCAATGTTTTCATATAACAGGAAGTCTGAGTTTATAGAGCTGAAAGTTGGATGTTTGCCGTTCACTTTAGACGGAAAAGAAAGAACTTAAAATGGAAATTCAGAAAGGGGATGCTGTCGTGTATATTTTAAATATTTAAGATAATAACTAATTGCTTATTTTCTTTATGACTATTTTACTATCTCCAACTTCAAAAGTAATTTAGCGCTGTGACGAATGCCACAAAATTTCCACAGCTTCTCAGAAAAGCCGCACAAAAACCTGTCTATATGCAAAATTGACCAAAAACTGAGTCAATCTTGAGTCATGTGCTCTCCAACCAGGTGACACACAATCCGTAAATTTCACTTTAAAATCATATGTGTAAGAGGAAAACAGCAAAAAAGTAAGAAAAAATACAGAAAAAAAAATCAGCTGAAATCGAAACCAAACCCCAACCAGTTCGGCAAACAAGTTCGCTCGATTTGATTGTTTATTTTTCGCATTTGTAGTTGAATTTCAAGGCCAGTCGCGTCTGGAGATAAGATCTATTATAATACAAAGAGAACATTTGTCTGTCCCTAATTTTTTTATTGCGAGGGACATGTGGAGAATCGACTCGAGTCGCATTAAGATGACAATTAAATGATTACAAATTGAATGCTCTGTGCAATTAAAATGACAGACAACCGTCCGAACTCAGACGGTAGGCATTTAATTTGCAAAACTTTTATTTATAGCCCGCCGAATGACTGACGCACGTCACTCGCCGGCTGCAATTGTAATTCTAGAGGCGGCTCACGGCAATTTCTTTAGGGAAATCATCCATAAAAAAAATCCATTTGCTTAGCCAGCATAATAAGTTTTTCCTCTCTGTGCCTCTTCTTTCCAAGTGCCAAACGATTTTGCACAACAGCAGATAAATTATATTTACCTATATGCTGGCTGTTTGTCTGCCTGTATGTCGGTACATTACATAATCGTCAGGCCAAAAAGCATTTGCTGTGTCCCAAAAACAACAACAACAATAACAAAAAAAACCAAGTACGACAAACAAACTGAGAAAAAAAAAACGAAAGACTCAAGCGCGCAACTCGCCTTAAATGGCAAACAGTCAACGGCAAATGGCCAAAACCACAATGGAACTCCGGTCTTTGGTCTTCGGTCTTTGGTCTCTGAGAGCTGGCTGATGGCTTTTTGTTGGATGCTTGGGATGTTTGCCTGAAAGGTTGTTTTTCTCCTTTTTTTTTGGTCGGTACCAAGCGGCGCCAGCCGGCAAAAAGAAACCAACCAAAAAAAAAAGACACAAAATGACAGCAAAATTGCATTATGGAACGGCTGTTGCAAGCGATGGCCACGTGAGAAGATCTTCATCAGCAGGAGATATCAACGCCAGTGGAGGTGTATGGAATTGGATTTTGGAAGGTGGAGGATTTATTAACTCCGTTTGGATTCTGAGAAATACCATTAAGGTGGAGAGGCTTTTAAGATAAAGTGCATTGACTGCATTTCAAATCTTAAGGAAACAAAATTGTCTTGATGAAATGGCATTTTGAGATTTGCCTTTGAGAAAGCCTTTCATAATATTCTACCTTTATATGATAAATGTTACTGTTAAAAAAGCACGAAATTTGATATTATTTTTTCTAAAAAAAAAAGTAATTTATAGTGTACTTCAAACTTTAGTGCAACAATGGCTCATTAAGATTGCTGTGCAATTATTGGTAGCTTTCACTCTTATCCATTAAATCGCCGCACAATCAAATTAATTGGGATCATATATTCCCAATAATGAGCCTTTATAAAAAGGTGTACTTTAGGGGGTTTGGCTTTTTGGGTGATCACATAACAATTGCATTCAGTTCAGCAAGGGAAGTAGTATAGGGAAAAATCACTTTCACGATTTTCCGACCATCTCTAGTTGCAGCTGCTCTTTTAGCTGATGATCTCTGGCATTTTGGATGCCCCAGCAGCAGCAGCAGCAACAATTGCTGCGCCCACGCCCGGTTGAGTGGATTTTGGTTGTTGTTGTACGAATAGTCGTATCTTTGTATGTGGCTTGCAACATGTTTTGTTACTACTGAATGCTGCTGCTGCTGCTGCTGCTGCTGCTTTCACTTTGTCTGGCATTTGATTCGCAATTGTTTGCTCTCTGGTTATTATGTCGCAAGCTCCAAAAGCGAACTCCACCATTTTGGTGTCCACTTAAGCGTCAAATTATGGGAATTTCGCTTGATTGAATTTATCGTTGCATTCGCTGAGTTTGTTCGTTCATTCGTTTACATAAGCCATCTGCACATCGGGTTGAATAACCTGATTACCGATCATTATAAGCTATATGTTTGTATAATTTGTTTCATTTTGCACTTTCCATATCGGCTAATTGAATATTGATGACACGAATGCAAATGATACGACCGTAAGTCATTAATTTTGAATTATGCTCTTTGCCCAGTCATCCAATCATCAATCAGACTTTTTTTTTATATCCATAGTTTTATGGTGTGTCTATATCTTTTTTTATAATGGCCATTTGGTTACGGTTACATGCGTGAAATTTCTCAAGGAAGCTAACAATTGAACATTTGTTACCCGCTGTTACATGTGAATATGCGAAATTGCTATTGAGGTGCTTATTCAATCAATTTGATTGAACTGGCAGTTATGTGGCAAGATTTGTGTATAAGAAAATGTCCAGGAAACACTTAACTCTACTTTACGGCCAAGCAAATGTGCCAATAATTGTATCAGCTGTTAGTTAGACAGGTCAATTTTCTCAGTGGCTTATAAATTTTAGATTTAGTTCAGCTCGTAAATGATTTAACATAGCTTTAAGTTATATATTAAAACCTATTAAAACTATTAACCATTAAACTTTCTAGTAAAAACTGTTTACTTATTTACCAAACCGAATTCCCACTTAATGGAAAGCTAATACGTGTACATATATATCTCATATCATATATCGTGTTTAAACACACCCCTTACAGTGCCTGTCACAAGTATGCGATACCATGGACCTAATAGCGCGTGCAGTCAACAACATTTCAGGGAAATTACAATCAAATCCACACGAACGGCGAATATATTTTCGGCTACCTCAGATTAAACCTACATTTTCCGGTAATTATATTTAATTTGGCTTAATATTCCAAGTTTTTTTGGGAGTTCACTCCAATCTGTGGCGTGTGCAGCCAAACGATGCGGGCCATTATTACCCAACTATATAATTTTGAAGCCCAGAGCCCGAGCACGATACCAATCTGCCATAGCAGCGGATCATTGAAGCACAACGGATCGTTGAGATTGGCATATCGGTATATATATATATGTATAATATTTTGGACTTACCTTGCCCACCTGCTGCAGAGTTTCGAGCATCAGCTCCTTTTCCAGCACCGAATCGAGGGCCTGAACCTGATCACACGAGGCCTTGGCCTGCAGATAGGATGAGGCCAGGATGAAGGATCCCAGAACGAAGGACGACACGATGATGGTGAAGGCGGTGATCTTGGCAATTTTCACCGAATTCGCCTGACGCTTGTAGGCCTAGAAAAAGTACAAAAATATAATATTAGCCATTAGGTTTATCGCTGCACATTCAGATTTAGTTTTTTTTGTGTATGAAATTTAATATTTCTACGTGCTCTTTTGTCTATGACCTCTCAGTGTGTCAGTTTTTTGTTTGGGGGTCAGGTAAAAGCGTCGACCTTACTCCACAAAATACTCTTTAACATGACCAAGCACGTTTTCCCCTTCAAAATTTTGAAGTTTTAGATATAGTTTAAAGATGTGCTAGGTGCAAAAAGAGTTACTAGCTTATTTACAGAAAAGTTAAGTCTTCTAAAAGATGGATCATGCATTTTGTTTTTAAACAATTTGTTATCGATGATTTGAAAGTGCTGTGATTCAAAAGTAGAGTAATTTCTAGGTGACTTTGTACTTTAATCATTAAGAAACTCAGCCGTCAGCTAAAAGGCGAGAGACATGAGGTAATAAACAATAAGTGATTGTTAAGCGCATTTAAGTTTTTTGGCAAGTGCCTCAATCAACTAAACTGCGTCTTAGATCATCGCAAATATTTGACTTTGCCAGCAGATTTTAGCCGTGACTAATATGTACAAAAGCTTTCCGCGTAAGGTGCAAAAATTTACAGGTTAATGCAAAAAGCCGCAGCATAGGAATATCAACAAAAATGTTTGGATTCCGCATTTGGAGCCCACGATTACGTAACAGGAAACCCCAAGCCGAAATTGAGGAAATGGCAGGCCCAAGAGAGAAAACTGAAGACGAAGACACCGAAGTGTGGGTGCAGTCAGGTGAGGCAGCTTTTTCTCGGTTATATCTATATCTTTTTTTCGAAATGTGCAATGTTTTTTTCTTGTTTTTTTTTTTAACACCTTTACGTGCGTGGCTGGTGTGGCCCCAAAATGCAGTTGCGAAAGTGAATTGTGAGTGAGCTACGATCGGAGTGAGTGATCATCATCATCAACACCAGGCAAAGTGAAGTGGAAGTGAATGGATCGCCTGGCACTCTATTTTTTACTCTACTCTACTTGATGAGGTTTTAATATTATTTTTTTCTTTGTTTTGTGAAGATTTTTGTGCAGACAAAAGACTTGAGCGACAAACCTGATGATTAAAGTTAAAAAATCCCATCTGTGGTTGGTTTTGAGTGTTGGTTTTTGTGTTGTGGCGAGTGCGGGGGAAATAGAGAAAATTTCATATTGTCAATCACGGTTTCGGGTTCGGTTTTTGTTTTTAGTATTTTTTTTTTTTTTTTTGGTTTTTTGCATTCACAACCAAATGAAAGAAAAACGATTTTTGTGGTTTTTGATTCGAGTGTTGGGCACACAAACACACACACATATACCATGATATTAAGGGAAAAGTACATAAAAAACAAGAAAAGACAAAAAGTTAATGAGATTTTACTGCATTTGTGTGGTGTCGCTTAATAATACTTGAGGTAAAAACCTAACACTTATGACTTAAACGTAAATAATGCACAAAAGGGAAAGCTTTTGGTCAAGGGTCGATTTGTGAAGGCTAGGACAGAGCTATTGACGTATTGAGTAACTCATTGATTGATGGATTGAGTTATTAGAAAGGTCAGGCCATAGGCTCTATATTAAATCAAAGTCGTTGGCTTTGTTTTTAATCTATAAAATGTATATAGTAGTGCATAATTATTTTTACTGCCCATCAGAAAGATCATCTTAAATATATAGTTTTTTTCATTAAAAATAATAATGATGATAATTCATTTTACTGATTTTAAAAGCTGATCGTTTTATGCCTAATGGCTTTTCTAATGGCTTGGCTTATGGTCACAAAGACGTATTAAAAGCGTTTAACAATGCAACAAAAAATGCTAATTATACAAATACTTCATAAATACATTCATTAAACAGTGCTTTAAAAATGTATCTATCCTCTTGCTCTTTACTATATTTACTAGATTAAATAATTTCCATAACGCATAAATATCTTTTTAATAAGTTTTTAAAGCTTCTAACTCCACTTTTAGTACCTTAACCAATCAGGTTTGCCGCATTTGTGCTTTGGGGTTAATGGAAGCGGCCACTTCAATTGAGCCTGTTAGATAACTATTTGCTTTCACTGTACTCCGCTGGTAAGGCGATGATAATGGAAGGGGAAAACCCTCGCGTGAATGGAACCGCACAAATCATTTTATGGGTGATGCGGATGCTGACTGTTGAATGCCAAATGCAAAACTTACAGTGCAATTTATGCAAATTTTCATTTATTTTTATTTTAATTTTACCCCCACACACACACTCTCAATCACACCCAGAGATCTAATAAGTATGGTTATATATATATATATATGGCAGGGAAAACAAGTTGAACAAGTCAAAGTACTCGGCGATGGCGCAGTCTATATAGATATGGTATTTGTTTAGGTTTGCGTTATTAGCGTGTCGTGACTATAACATTAGAGCTCTCCGAGATTGGGATTGAGGCGGATTTCTATTTGTCCAACCATATCGGATACACAGATCCATTCACACCTTGCCGAGAAATGAATACCAGTATATGGATATATATATATCTTGTATCTTGCAGATACGAATGAGTATACGATGGACTATCCCAGGGAAATGTCAAGCCGCAGAAAATTGTCAAAGCCGCTCACGTTGCATGCGATTCCCTCTCGGCTGTCAGACAATAATAATCATTTTTAAAATTGCACATTAATGGTGGGGGCTGTGCAAATTGCTTATGCATGCAATGCAGACTGATTTGGTGAAAATGCAGCTCACGTTTGCAACTGCTTGCAGAAAAGAGTCCGCATTGCGCATACGCTCTGTTGTCCGCCAGCGGATGCAATAAGTCAAAGGGTGACCCTGGCATTTTCTAACCCACTTGGCTGCCGACCAATCAACGTTCAACGGGTCAGTTAAGCTAGTAGAAATAGTAACTGCGCAGAAACAAAAAATGTGGATCTGTTTTAAAAGATCACTTAGGAATTTTTCTAAGCTCATTAAAACTTTTAAAAGCTAAAAGATGATTTTTTAATCATATACGCAGTTATTAACAAAAATATTTATCGCTATTTCTGATTTTAACATTTTTTCGGTACATAGCCGTAATTACCGCAAATAATTGCCGTACAAAATGAGGAATTTTGCTTGTAATTAGTTTCGCCATTTGTCACACACAAAGAGAACGCTTCGAACATATCAAAGCTTTACTGTACTCACCGGTGGCGGTTCGCTGGCGGTGCTGTAGACCTCGCTAGCCGCATAATCAGGCTTCATTTGCACGGTAGCCATCGAGACGGTATCCTTCTCGGTCATCTATAGCACTACAAAATAGTGGGGAACAATCGGTTAACTCTCTTAAGGACTTGAAATCCACGTAATATTAATTTCCAAGCAAGGATAAACTGATGGCAAGCAAACAGTTCAAATTTTTCACTTTATCCACACTTCATCACTTTTCACTTGCTTTAGTAATATTCAAAGCATATAGTTTTATATTCCTTCACTTACGTAGAGGATTTTCCAAATATTGGACAAAAAGTAAAAGGAATTTCTTGGTACGTTTTTAAGCAGCGGGTTTGTTGGTTGTTTTTTTTTTTTTGAAAAAGTTGCCTGACCAACTTTTCAGCAGGAGGGATTTTTGGCCTCTGGAAACTTTGGATTACTACGTCTTTGTTGTACGACTGCCACTCGCCGTCTGAAGCCACAAACGCGTTTCATTTCAGATTTGTCTACCAGATTTAAAACTTTTTTCAACGCGACTGCGGCTGCGACGCCGGCAGAGCGGCTTCTCACACACACCAACAAACCGAAAGAGACAGAGACAGCAGCTGCATGATCAACACGAAGCTGAAATACGAACAAAAACGAACGAAAAACAAAAGTTTAAACTACAAAAAATAAGAAAAATATATCAACAATAACACTCAAGCTGGCTGGCTGGCTTACTAATACAATTGTGCTACATTCATGGGAGCTTGGGTACAGTGATACTTCACGAAGTGCAAACTTTTGAAGATAACTTTGCCTTGAATTGCCTTATTTGTTATAAGCAAGTTACCACTTATTTTAAGAACATTTTCATTTATTTAACTTTAACTTATTATAGTCCATCTTATCGAGTAACTACTCCACCTTTTGGAAGCCCAGCTCAGGTATAGAAAAAGCTTTCGGCTGATGTGGACTTTGCAATTGAGCTACACACGTGATTGTGCGTTGACGCTGACCAATTAGCTGAATGTGAATTAAATTGAATTTAAAAATAAAATTATATTAAATGATTTAATAGTTTGTGTACACACACAACTATAAATAGAACCAAGCGGTTCGTTAGGCATTCCCGCAATTAGAAGCAGCTAATGTGGCTCAGAGGCAGAAACATATAAGCTAAGTTAATACCAAGCTAACAATATGCCCCATTGATATGTAGGGTATGTACTCCACATATATATACAAGTAGAGTATGGAAAAAAAGATCTCGCGACACACTAAAAAATTAAAGGTACTCGCACAACTCCGCCAACACACACACACACACGCACACACTCTCGTATATTAACAAACGATGTAGACCTCGTATAACTTGCTCCCCGACTTAAAAGTTGCTGGCTGCAACTTGGTTGTTGCCGTTGTTGTTGTTGCACCACTTCAAGTTGCTTACGAAAAAAAAAACATTACGTTTTTTTTTGTAGTATTTTTCTGTAATTTTTCCATTGTGATTGTAGCTGGCCAAAGCGTTGCACTTGCCCAAACACAGATGCAGAATACCTGGGCACTAGTTATGCTATATAGTCGGCCGACGATCATCTTGATTGCTCGAACAGCTGCCGCCGCCTGCTGTTTGCTTGCATTGCCCATTATTTTGAACAATTCTGGGAATCGCTTTTAATACAAATAATAAATACCAAGTCTGGTCTTGATTGATAAGACTTTCGATGCTCTGTATGTTAGTTCTGTTAGTCGGACATTGCTCATACGCCATGTTGTCCGGGAACCAGTTTCATTTTTTTTTTGTTTTTTGATTTTTTGTTTTGATATTTACCTTCTCCATGGCTTTGAATCATGCTAGATGCTCGTTTATTATCTATTTTTTTGGTGACCCAACAGTGGACCCGCCTCGGGTTACATAACCAGCCGAAGATCTGTCTTTCCGACTCTCTTCGTTAATTGCATAATTCCTAGGGTTTATGATTAAAATGTCACAAGCCAACGAACCAACAACGGGCAACCTACGAAATATAAAAACCTCGCTTCAAGTTGGTCAAACTCAAGTGATTAGTCAATAAAACGAAGTGGCTTTCTTTGTTTACGTTTATGTTTATCTTTATGTTTATGCAACATGAAAGTGGAGATGGGCTACAGCATCCCTCTAATTGCGATCATCCCACAGCTAATCCAATGGCTTTTATTTAGTTTTTCTTTCACTTCTTGCTACCACATTATTAATTACTGTATTTTTTTTTGCGTTTGTCTTTTGGGTCCCCTAATTTGCATGGCACAATGAACAACCAAATTAATTTCTCATTGCATCACTGATTGTGCGATCCAATTGAAAATGTGGCTTGGAAAGGTGGAAAAGTAGGTAAAGCTGCTGGTTTTCTATAGATACTATTACAGCAAAACCTAGCAAAACAGCATTCTATTTCAATGGAAATTCCAAACTGAAACTTTCAGGTTCTTCAAAACGAAGATGATATTACTAAAACAGATTAAATATTAATGTTCTCTGCCTTAGCATCTTATTAACCTTTCCCTTAAATGGACCAGTATTTATAATATATAACTAGCGACTTCTAGTTCTTAAGAAATATTTGTAGTTTAGTGCAAATAAGTCTTTTTAAAGTAAACAAAATTAGAGCTGTGTATATATACTGCGATATTTATTTATTTACCCTAAGGTTCGGAAGCTTTAAAACTTTACGATCGGGGATTTTTCGCCGAATATAAACACATATACTGAAGCTAAGCTTGATGGGAAAATAAGAGAGAAAGATGCGCTTAGCTAGACTCGCAAATTGCGACCCGGCTTTGGATTTTGGCTCCGTCTCCGGCTGGAACTACTGCGAATTTACTGGCCTGGCTAAGGGGTTTAAGGGGAATGCCGGGTGCTACCAGGTACCAAGCGGCGAACTGGCACCGTCTTAGGCCTGGGAATTGTGTAAAATGAATACAGAAAAAAAAATACAGAAAAACAAACACATAAAACACAAAACTAAAAACGAGAAAAATGAATGAAAAAAAGCAAATTCAATGCAGGTATCGGACGGATACATGCGAGTATCTCAGAAATACAATGCGCCGGTGCCTAATAACTGAACACAAGTTGATTTCGAGTGTCTATGTGCAAAATAAAATCAAAACAAATCACAAAAAGCTCATAAATAATAGCCACACACAAATGAACAACGGCAGCGACAACAACAAAGGTTTTCGGTCGTTAGCGTAGTTCGCCATTTTGGACTGGCTAAAATTAGCTAATAACGATAAAAAAAATGGTAAACAAGAAAACCAAAATAAACCCAAAAAGTTACAAGCATATGAAAAGCAGAGGGAAATGCAAATTTTTGCTGATTATCTTGAATGTTGGAATATATAGCTATTTGATTTTAACTACATTTTTGAAATATTTCCTTATTATACATTTTATTTGTAAGTTAAATTTTTTAAGAAATATTTTATAAATTTGAAACAATAGTTTTCTCTTAAAATTACAATCAGCTATCATTTAAATATTAAACTTACTTTTTCAAATCTAAAAATAAACTTTGTTTAATAACCATACTCAGTTATTAACCCCATTATAAATCCACCTTACTTTCAAGAAGGTTCTACTATAAAATTATACAGTATTCGCTTTAGATTCCACTTCATTTGCTTACAACTTTTCCCCACTCAATTAGTGATCCCAACTTCCTAGGCCCGCAGCAGATATTTGTATCGCATTTGATGCGAGTTGGTCACGGGAGAGTGAACGAAGCAGTAATTACAATTGGATTTCAAATGCTTCAACGATTGCCGAGGGGATTTTATTTAATTTTTCATACGTGTTCTTCCATATACAATACTTTAGTATACTATATATGTGTCTCTCAGAGAAACTGCGTTCTTAGAATTAAGCATCTTTGCCCCGCTTTTTTGTGCCTGCTATATTGGAACGAACGTGGGACCGACGATTAACACCTCATCGTTAGAAACTAAGCTCATCCGGAGTTACTTGTCTTGAAAGCTGCCCCTCAAGCTCTTTATCATCCTTATGGCAATGGGATGTGATGAAAGCATGCCCAAATAAATTAAGCCAATTTGGGCAGGAACAATAGAAGTTTTTTGTATGCCTAGCAGTCCGTAAATTGACAGAGATCTTCATTTGTGTTGTTCGTGTTTTCCTCTCTGTTTCTCTAAATCTGCCAATTAGCAACGCTTACAGGTGTGTGTACCTCTGGGTATACAAAAATATATAAATTATCATGGACATAAACGGATATTGTTATGGATTCTGGCATACCCTAGCTAAGGCTACCATGGGCTTTGGTTTGATTACCAAACAAATATTGTTTTTACATTTTTTAAAAAGCAAATCATTTTTGGAAGTTTTTTGACATTCTATCCTTATCTATATTTATATATGATACAAAATTACATAAGAGAAAACCCATAATGTTTTATGATCCTTAACTAGTTTCTAAAAGAGATTGCCTACTTTTAGGAGATATTTTCGATCGAGATCGATAAAAAATCGACACAAACCCAATCTTTTGTCATAAATCAACAATAAAATCGATATATATTATAGAGTATATCCACCATCGGCTAACTATCCATATCTTTCGCTTCTCAAATAACATTTTTCGTTAACACTGTACTCCATTGCAATTATCACATTTTTCGAATGCGGATTTGTAAGTTTTCTAGTTCAGCCAGCGAATGTCAATGACTCGTCATTGCTCTAAGCTTTTTGGATTGGAACTGCCGCTGTTTGAAGCGTTTACCGCTCTCATTTGTCAACGCCGGCATAACAGCTCCAAGTACAACTAAGTACATACAAAAGTGCCGCCCTCAATGCCCACGGAGCGTTGCGCTTTTAACGCTTCTCAGGTATTAATTGCCGTCCAGATCACGAAAATATATATATGATCGTAGAAGAAAAAATTAACTCCATTTGTAGCCGTACATATTTGGCTTAATGCGGTATTTAAAAATGTTAATTGAAAAGAGTTACGGTAATGAAGGAAGCTCCGTTTTGTAGGTGTGGGTTACTTAGGAAAGTGATTTATGAAAGTTTTCAAGGAGAAGAATGAGATATGCTTGGAAAAGTAGATTTTAACCGGGTTACTTTATTAAGAGGAGTTTAAGGATATGAATAATCAATATTTATCAGATCACTATAGATTATTTACCTATATTTCACAGATCATATACGATAAGTTGTTTTACATTTTGTACGGACACAGGAAGTTATCAATTGATTAATGATGCACATCGACCTTAAAGTAATTTGTTTTGGAAGTATCGTTAAGGGGTTTTGTTATACCCTTTTCTTTAAAAGGTATACTATATATCATCTTCTTCCGCATAAAAACCTTTGTCCCTCCTTTATCCCCATTTGATCTTCAGGACAAAGCAACCCCAAAGATACTATACTGTCCAAGGCTTTCGCACCCAGGTGCCAATTTTGAGAAGTCTCGTGGTCACCAATGTACCGTCGCATGAAAATCCAAAGTCAAAGCCCTGCCTGAAGACACAATGAGTTTTGTACGTAGGTTTAAGTCAAATGTTGCTCGGGGACATACAAGTTGATTTTTCAACATTCTCAAACAATGGTGGCACTTTTTTCGCCTTGTTTTTCATTGCGCATCCACTTAGCAGTTGAAGATTTTCAAAATGAGATAACACCTTACATTTTGGGATGGGTTTTTATTATTTTTTTTTTTTTGGCTGAGCTTTTGCCGGCCGACTTGACAAAGCTGAGAAGAAAACGATGGAAAATTCATTTCAAACGCAAGTTATTATGCCGGGCGTAATGATGGGGACAAAAGTGAAAAAGGTTAGGCGTGGGGCGCCACGAATTAATTTGCACCTTTCGCCTCTGTCGCAGCGCTGCAGCAGCGACGTTGACGTCGACAGATTTCGTGGCAGCGGTGAAAGTTGCACATGCAAATCTACAAAAGAAAGAAAAATTGCGAACGCTGTCGGCAATTAAAGGCGACTTTGTTGCACTGAGATGAAAATGCCACAGAAGTACGGTCTGCAATTAAATGGAATATGATATAGAAATTTAAATAAATAAAGATCAGATTTATCCATAGTTTAAAGATAAATGCCCAAATTACTTAAATTGCTTTGTTTATTAGTTATTATGACTTAAACCTTTTAGATAATGAAAAATGTGACTTCTTAAAAGATTTTTCCAAGCACTTATAAAGCTATATATATCAACCTCAGTCATATGATACAATGAATAAGCAATATTAAAGTCCATTTTACAAGTTAAAAACCTCTTTACAAATGTTGCGACCCTGTAAAGTGCACATTTACTTTTTGACTTACATAACTAAATATTTTTCTCAGTGCTCCGTAGCAGTATAACGTGACTGGAAAAGTGCAGCATCCAGAGCAGGCTGTTTTCATTTTTCGATGCATCTCAAAATGCCAGATGGAAACTTTTCCGTCTTTTTCAAATCTCCCTTAACCGACGGGCAATGTCATAATCTCTGCGTATAGCGGGGTTTTCCACGATTCGCTTGACTTATCTGCGAGCCTATTGTATATATATATATATATATATAAATATTTAGTTACTGTGTTTATGTTTGTTTAGCGGGCACAACGGTAATCGTAATTTGTCATTTATTTGCACTTCGCATTTGAGTGATTGCCGCTCGACATTAGGAGGAAGCGGAAATAAGTGCAGTCAGCAGCGGTAAAATGCGTTGGGGTGTTTGATTGCATTTCACATAGCTACTAAAACTCTTCGAGCATGTAAAAGTCCGTTGTTAGGAAAACATTAGTTGATTAACTTTAAATTTAAATTTACGTTGCCATATCGTCATTGTCAGTGTGGCAACGCAAAAAGGGCACCTGACTTATCGATAGTCTACTTTCAGGGTGGTGAGAGTCGTAATCGATAACATCTCATACTTGCGTTAAACTACTTTAACTATTTGTCGATGTCTACTTATTATCTATTGTCCATTTATAAATTACTAATTATTTATAATTATAAAAGCTTGGAATACCTGCTCATTAATAGACGGTTCGAATAAGTGGAGCAAAATGGTACTTTTCAAGCGCTACCTCAGGGTTGGTCGAGAGCATTTAGTTTTCATACCGTTTCAGTATCTGGTAACACTGAAGTCAGCTCTATTTGGTTTTTCATGATGGCATAAACATTATACGGAAACGTACATGAAACCGCAAACGCCGAGCTGGTGCACTGTTGCAACCGACGAGGACGTCCGCCCGCGCCGCCCAATCGATATTACCACTCGGCGAGGGAAAACGTAGCGTGGAAACTCAGCAACGCGGCGCCGCCATTGAGAAAGCACAGAAAGAAAAGCGTGTGCTCCCGCAAACAACAAGAAAAAATCAACGAAAAGGGAGTGGAGTGAGGGGAAAACCGATTTGAGGTCGCCGGATGTGAAAATGTCGCAAGCAGCTGGAGGAATTACCACTGAAATGGAGGAGTCAACAACAGGCAAACCGCCGGAGGATCTCCAGGACAATGACACCAACAGTCTGGAGCCGGGCGAAGTAGTGACCCCGCCCCATGATGATTCTGAAAGCCCCGCAATAAAGAAGCATCTTTCCAATGACTTGGTAATAAGCAAAACGCTAAGAAAGTTATCAGGTTGTATACAGGAACAGTCTCGCAAGGAGAACGGCTCTTTGGGTACACCAAAAAAACAAACCGAAGAGGCTGACGATAGTGAAGGTCTTTATTCGGAATCGGATTCCTCTGGGGAAGATCTCAAGAATGTGGAAGATGTGCAAAAGGCTAGGAAGGAAAAGCAGGAAGAGGCTGCCGCGGCGTCCCTTCCTCAAGCCCCACCAACCCCTTTTGTAGGTATTAATCCACTTAGATTTCACATGAGAGCCCCTTGCTTTGACTTCCCCCGCATGGGCTTCATGCCCCGAATGGGCAGAGGTGGACCAAGAGGCATGAGACCTCCTTTCTTTGGGTGCCCGCCCATGCAAAATCATGTGGGAGCACCCATGATTGGTGGTTTGCCAACTAAAGGACCTCCGACGGGAGGCTATGGACCACAGAACTCGTTAGGACCTGTAAGTAACAGCAGTTCAGATCGCCCCAAGATACCCCAATCAGAAGTTGTGTAAGTGACTACCATAGTTATATTAGGAATCAAGGTATAACCATTTAATTTCAGGTGGACAGCCCTACAACCGCCAGTGTCTTTTGTTTTCAATCTGGTTTCCGGGTGCTCTAGTTCAAAGCATGATAATTGTGGGAGTAAAGTAGAAAATGCTGTTAACAAATCCAAAGGAGACCCTAGCGAAACAACGGATAAGTCCATTAAACAGTTAACTGAATTGGATCGATCCAGGGGCAAAACCAGGGATAAGTCCCAGCACAGCGATGGGAAAAGCATAGATAGAGGAAAAGCTAAAGAAAGATCTGCGGACAGGAATGAAACCCGACGGAAAACTAGGGAGCGATCAAAGGAAAGGGATTCAATCAGAGGAAAGAGGAGTGAAAAGTCCAGGGACAAGGACTCAAATAAAGTAAAAACCAGAGAAAAGTCGAGAGAAAAAGATTTAGTTCGAGGAAAAACTAGGGAACGATCACAAGAAAAGAATAAGACAAGAGAAAAACCGAGGAATACATCCATGGAAAAAGATCAAGCTGGAGGTGAAACTAGGACGTTTGAAAGGAGAAAATCCCGAGGCAAAACAAAAGACCGATCCAGGGAGAGAGATAGAACTAGGGCGAAAACACCTCAAATATCACAAGCCAGAGATCAAACCGGGCGAAGGACAAAGGACAGAGACCCCATCAGAGCAAAATCAAAGAAAAGGTCCAGATCCAGAGAGATACGTCGAGAAAAGCTAGACGAAAAAGATAAGAAGCGAGACTTATCTAAGGAGAAATCGAAAGATAAATCGAATAATCATACAGAGAAATCTAGGGATAACTATAAGGAAACGCACGAGGAACACCGGAACCAAAGGCATCGCGAAGGATCCAAAGAAAAAGGCAGAAAACTATCTAAGGAAAGATCGGAAGTAAAGCAAAATACGAATGTACTAGAAAATGCAAAGGAAAGGGAAGCTGATCGTAAAAAAGACCTGTCTGGTCAATTAGACGAATCATTTGACGATGGTTCACAAGGGAACCGATCTAGAGAAAAATCGACAACGAAGCGCTCAAAAGAAAGCGGCACTGAAAAATATAGGGAGCATTCAAGGGAAAAACCCAAGGAAAGGACGGATGAAAAAGGCAAGAACCTTTCAAAAGATAATGATTTTAAAAGTCTCACGGAAAAGGGTTTGGAGGGGTCCAGAAGAGCGCATGATAACACCAACAAAAATGCCGTCGATATAGACAACTCGAAGAAAAAGAGTCAGGTGCCTTCCTCTTGGGATACCAGAGAAGGAACACCACCAACGACGCCGCCCCAAAGTGAACTCTATCAAACTCCAACTAATGAAACCTCGAAACCCAAGGGTTACGATATATTCGCTGAATCACCTCCAAGACCAAACACTGCCGTTACACTACCAGCTGCACTTATCGAAAGGAGTAATACGCCCCCATTAAAAGCTAGCCCAGTTGCAGTTCCTATTGCTAAAACATTAAAGTCCAAAAAAATGGATCCACTGCTTAAGGCCAGCGAGATTCACAGTAGAATTGGCGCCCTGCTTGATGATAGTGATTTACATTTGGAGGCCTTATTGGCTACCAAGGAGCAGCTGTTACGAAGGACGAATGAACACAAGGAAAGAAAAGTGGCGCCGAAGGAGATAAAAACTGAGTATCTGTCAAATTCTAGCTATAGCAGATCTGATGTTAGTAGGGCAGAGGTGGATCATCACAAAACTCAACCAAGACATCAAAATCCGTTCAAGCGTGAATCAGTATTAAGCGGGAGAAAATCTCACTCGCGTCCCTCAAGCAAGGAGAGGCGTCTTCAAAGAAGAGACAGTGAAAGTGAAGAGGATTGGGACAAAGAATTGGAACGAGAGCGAGATCAATCAATTAGTCATCAAAGTCGCTATGATGAGTACAAAGAAATCAGCATAAAAATTGAAAAGGATCTTACGCCTCCTTCTCAACCATCAGCCTTTTCTCTGACCACCATCAAAATTGAACGCAATGCCACGCCCCCCCGGTCAGCAGAGCAAGAGGTGCTAGTGAGAAATGGTGCAGTGGCAGCCAATGCCCCGCCACCATCTTCAGAGCAGGAAAGTCCTGATACCGATGACTACATTGACAACTGGGAAAACGACGACTCCATGGCCAGTATGCCGAAGAACGCCCCTCCTGCCACTCCAACACCTGCTCCCAACCCCAAAAAGCTTCTCCCACCACCAGCTACTCAATTTAATGACGATGATGATGATGAGGACTCGAATGCCTTGTGGAATGCCAATAGCACGCCACCTCCTCGAGCGAAAGAATCGAACCTGCCAACAAGCAATATCCATGAGTTATATGATAAATTCATGAATATAATTAAAATGTCTAACGATGATAAGGAGCAAGAACCATTAGACACGTCTAAGAACAGTTCATTAAGTAATTCCACTGCCGAAGAAAGTTCCTCGGGTACAGAGACATCCTCAACAAGTAGCAGTAGTAGCGGAAGCGAGGAGGATTCCAGTTCCGAAGACGATGATGCCAATGAAAGCGCCTCGGATGAGGAATCCCTCGCGGCATCAGGTAATTCCAATACAAACCAAGATGATAACCTTGGCAAAGAACAGCAGCAAAAGAAGAACAATGTTAGCAAAGATCTACGAAAACTGAAAAGCCTCGAAGACAATCTGGCCAGGATTCAGATGATGCGTGAAAACTACGATGCTGGTGATGAGATATCCGAGGAATTGCTCAAAATGGAATCCCTTTTCCTTATGCAGCGAAATGCAATAATGGATAAGTATCGCAAACAAGAACTGAAGAGTAGTGCAGGTGAAGATCAACAGTCAATGGATCAACAAGAACATGTGCAGCAAAAAGTGGAAGTTCAACAGTCTACCTTACCTGTGAACAATATATTCAATGCCAACCGGGAGGCTATTAAGCTTACAATTTCGCCTTTAAAACTAACAAGGAAATCGGCAATATTTGACAAGGATGAACCAGACCAACCGGAAACATCCAAACTTGCGTTGGAGCCTCCTCAGGCACCTCTGAAAAAGCCACCAAAGGAGATTGCCATCGTGAAACCCACCATAGTCAAGTCCCGGTCGAAGTCTAGGTCATTGAGGAGTCCACCGCCGCCAGAAGTAAATCGTCGGAGGTCTCGTTCGCGTTCAATATCCAGAAATAGAGCCCGCCGTCGTGGTTCGAGAGGCAAGTCTCGTTCTCCTAGCCCCAGACGTTGGCGCCCTCCATCGCCGAGAAGAGGTTCAAGATACACCAAGAGAGCAGAAACAGCCGGAGGAACTAAAATAGGAAGAAGTCACAGCAGGAGTCTATCTAGAAGTCGAACACGCAGTAGGAGTCCAAGTAGACGAAGACGTCCACCACCAATAGTTGGAAATAGAAAACGAAATTCGTTGTCTCCTATCCCATCTAAAACGGCTGGACCTCGGTCACCGCCTCCTTCCCGCATGCGTCGTTCACTTAGTCGCGACAGGGATCGTGAAAGGGAACGCGAACGCTTCTCCCGATCCCGTTCACCACTGCCCTTCAAACCACCATCGCCGCCAATGCGACGCAGTTGGTCCAAGACACGATCACCAACTAGAAGGAGATCGTTTTCCCGGTCTAGATCTCGCTCTATATCTCCCAGATCTTGCTTACCCGCAGACGTAGGCTTCATGAACTATTTCGAGGAGAACCAGGATATGGAAGCCGCTGCTTACTACTACAACATGTCTTTGATGCAGCAGGAGAATCAGGATATGGGTGATGGCTATGATGCATATGCCGCCTACATGGACTCTGCATACAACATGGAGCAAGCTTATGCACAGTACTCCGAAGATTATTACAATTATGGTGAATATATGGGTGAAGTTGCTTCTTCACCTCAGCCAACTGGATCGGTTCTCAGGGAACTTCCAATGGCACCAACGGTGCCCTTGGAAACGTATATGCCTATGGCATCTACGGGTACAATGCCAACGATGGCATCGGTGATGCCGGTGGCTGTCCAAAAGGGAAACGTTTTGGAGATAGTGCCCTCCAGCGAGGAAATTATAAAAACGGAGGATAACACACTGCCAGCTCCAACAGAAGAGCCAATGGAGGACACAAGGTATGCTATTTTCAGGAAAATTCCAAAATCAAATATCCTAACAATATATATTTTTTAGTAAACCTAAGCGGAAGAGCGTTAATTTCGTGGATAACGTGCTGCCCACTTACGAGAGCGACAACGAAGATCGCGTCGTCGTTGGAATGGCTGTGGAGCGCGCCCTACGAAAATATCAGGAGCGACGCTCCCAAGCCGCAGCCAAGCTACAACAAGTTCGAGAAGAATTGCTTGCATTGCCTCCGCCACCGCCGCCTCTGACGCCGAAGCCAGCCAATCTAGAGAAACCTGTATTGGTACAGAAAAAACCTAAGATGCGATACTTCCATTTTGATCCTTTCAAATGTGCAATAGTGAAGACGCACACAAGAATACTACGCCCGCCATTCGATCCAAAGCATTTTGCAATGCTGATGAAGACCGGCCGTTTGCCACAGATTCCGGTCGGATTCTTACGCCACCGCCCGCCAATAATTCCTGCACATGTGGATCCCGCAACGAGGGCAGCAATCCTCAAAGATTTCTTCAGCAAACATCCACCGCCGCCGCTATCTATGCCCATGTCTTTGTCGAATGGAATACCCAATTACCTGAGTGCGCCGCCGCCAATGCCAAGTGGAGCTGTTCTTTCTCCTGTACCTATTAATGTGCTGCCGCAGCCCATTCCCGTTTTGGATGGAAGTGGTTATCAGAGTTACCCTCAGCCGGTTGCCATGGTACCATCGCCAGTTCCGGTCCCTATTCCTCTACCAGTGCCGCTACCTGTGCCCGTGCCTGTTCCAACTAATCCTACGCCACCTCCTGCAACGATAGCTCCTTATTTCACACCACCACCTCTGCCCGATCTGCCATCTTTATCGGAACTGTCATCTCAATTCAATGTAAATTCGGTGCCCAATATTACGGAAATAATGCCAGTGGATATACTGCAGAAATTGGGACCACTGCCAAAAACGTTAGATGTAGATGATGGAGGAGAAGAAGCTAGTCCGGAAGATGCCGGTAACGATCTCAAGGAGGCTGAAGCAGATTCAGGCGAACAACCAATGGTGGATGTTAAGCCGCAGCTCCTTGTCGAGACCCAGTAGTAGATCCATCTTTGCATAGTTTGATTCTTTAGCCAATAGATTTGTTTAGATAATTCTCTTAAGTCATAAACACGGAAACCCTGTACCCTTACTTTAAGTTTTACTTCTTAAAAGGCTTGCTTTTAAATTTTTTTAATTGACCATTTTGTAAACAAATTGCATTTATTGATAGAAGTCTTTTTAGGTTTACTGAGCTCTAAGTTTATGTCATTTATACACGGTTCGACTTTGGTCAAGATCATTGATTTCTGAAAGAAAATAAAATTGTAAATAGTTCAGTGTGTTTAAGAATTAAACATGAATTACCATTCGGCATAGAGATTGAAAAACATTATAAATATATATATGAGTCATTTATTATAACGAAATTCATAACGAGTTAATCTAGCATTAAGCCCTCATAAGTCGAATGTATGTGAGATTTTTATAGTGTGGTGTGAAACTATAAGGCTTTGTGTGAATGTTATCGTACAAAATGCAGAAAAATGAAATAAAAACTACGTATATGCGTTAAAAGAATCTTTGAAATTAAACTCACAATTGAAATAGTTTTACTTTTCGATTTAGTCTTGGTAATATAGAATTTAAGGATGATCTTTTTAATTTATTATTAATATTTGTAAATGTCGGTTGTATTATATTATTACTAAATCTAAATATTTTCTCTGGGTGTCAGAACCAATGGAAAACATTTGGCAGGCAGTGCCAAACTCTCTGGACTAATCTTAATGGTTGATAGATCGTGACTGCTTATATTATATCTCTGCATTATGTTGACCAGGATGAGGAAACCAAATCCTCTGACCAAGTTCTGTCCAATGCAAGTACGTTTTCCGATGCTGAAGGGTAAGAAATGTGGAATATTCTTCCTTAGTTGGTACTTTTCCTTATCGCTTTCGATGCCCGAATCAGAGCCATTCGTATTTTTTGGACTTTTCTCATTCGGTCTTTCCAAAAACCTTAACGGATTAAATTCCTTGGGGCTAACCCAATATTTATCGCTTGTGTTTAGCACATAGTTGTTGATAAACACAATAGTGCCTTTTGTTACCCCAAAGCCAGAGATCACTGTATCCTCGGTGGCCACATGGGGGACAATTGGTGAGGATGAATACCGCAGTACCTCAAATATTGTAGCCATCGTATAGGGCATCACATTCATATCCAGTAAATTAATTTTTCTCTTTTCCTCCGATATAATGGCGTCGATTTCCTCTTGGATTTTGTTTCCTATATCCTGATACCTTGCTATATAGGCGAGTACCAGCATCACAAGATTTCCTACCGCCGAGTGTCCGCCAATGAAATCCTCCAGCATAAAAATAATCGTGTTTCTAGAGACATCTTTATCCTCAATGAGACTTTTTAGTAAGGCATCTGTAAAATCTCGATCCGGCTCGTCCAAATCGATGTTAAGCTCTCGGTTATTGATAATCCTCTCCATTATAAATTTCCGAATGGTCGAGGACCAGTTGATAATTTTATTAAGGTGTCGCTGATAGAAGGGATATAACCAGGGTAGAAAATCTAGTGGATGTCCTTGGTTGATCTCCCAGAAAATCTCATCGAAATACTGAACCATTTGTTGGAAGTTTAAATCATCATATTCAAATCTCAGGGAACACATGTACTGACTAAACATATTTCCACAGGCCTTGAGAATCAGAGGTTTCAGTTCAATGGGTTCTCCAGGGACCAGTTGTTTGCGTAACTCCTGATTCCAATGCTCCATTTCCTCGCAGCCAACTTGGGACATTTTCATGTAGAACGAAGACGATTCTCTGGGCGAGCAGTGACGTCTGGCGAGATTCCTCCTTTTTTGCTGTAATTGTGACCAATCACAGAGGGCCAATGAATTGCTCCTCTCGCCGCCAAATAATTTATGATACCGCAGAAAGTTCGGCCGTCCACTCATTACTTTGCCATTTTGATTCAAGACCTCTCGGATCAACTCTAGATTATTTACCACCAAACAGCGGGTGTGTCCAAAAGTCAGTGAGTAAATGTCACCGTATTGTTTGGCCAACTCAGTGAATCCCGCAAAGGGATTATCTCTATAACGATCCAGCAGATGTAGGTTGCCAATAATGGGCCATGGTCGGGGTCCTGGAGCTTGTTTAAATTTTTCACAAACTGTCCTATTTGTTTCATTTGAATTTTTGCTTTTAACAGCTTGAATAACTCGACGCTTGACTCCATAAATGATGAATATGTAAGACGTGACCACAGCACTCAGTAAAATGGACAAAACAGTATAAACCAAAAGAGACATCTTTTCGCGAGGTTCTTGAAATGTCGATGTACAAAACACAACTAACAATGACAAAGCGAATCACTTAAACAGGTAAGCAGAAGGCTGATATTTTTCAACATCTTTTGGAAAATCTGCTTCGTTATCTGTGGGTTAAGAAATTATCTGTCACTTCAGTGGGCTGCTACCTGTTTGCTTTGGTCCTAATGATTTGTTTTTCCCTTTTAAAGGACAACATGAATCATCAGGATGAAAACTGATAAGGCTCTGTTTTTATAGCAATATATTTTATACAAATTAATGTAATAATAATTTCTTAATTTTTGACGGTAGTCGTTGTTATAATTTAAAAGCGTCTGCTCTTTATTCCTCTATAAACAAAATCAAACTGAAATTGATGAGGAAATATACTTTTTGAATTGCGAAAAGCCGACGGATAGTGCTGACCATGCGGTCAGTGCAAGAACCATTTGTCCGCTGATCGTGGGATAAGGTCGCAGGTCATTAAATAATCATGTCTGTACCGGTACCCTAAGGCATAGCTTAATTTACCGATAAAGCAACCAAAGAATTATCCGAGATGTCAATGGAGTTTTGGCTAACTCTTAACTTAGTTGAAAGCTAACATATTCTCACAGCGACTTAGCAAATATTCTGTATTTTGTCGTCTGTGCTGGGTCAGCAAATCGGACGGTGTTATTTTTCGGATATAAGTGTGGTCAACGACTCGGATCTGGCTGACTACAATTTAATTACATATACATACATATACAATTTGTTTTTACATTTTCCATTTATTTGGCATTTTTACTTTATTTTGCTATCACTTTTCCTTAATTATATCGACTGTACACTCCTCTAGGGTATTATCTTAAACTAACGGATTTTTATTGAGTATTCCGTGTGAGTATGGAACTTTAATCGGGACTTTATTATTCATTAAGCTTATCCTTAGCGAAAGGTCCAATGTTGGCTGCATAGGCCATCATGGCAGGAATGGAACTCTGTTCGTAATTTCCAGTGAAAAGGTGCTCGAAGGGACCAGAAGCAAAGACACCCACATCTTCGGCGCCATGAGTTTCACTGCTCAAGGGAACCGTGGCCTGGAAAGCAAACTCTTCGTTCAGAGTGTTCACATGGGAAAGATCAATACGTCCGTCTTCCGAGTTGTAGGTATCGGTAAATCCTGGACCATTGGCATAAGACAGGACGGTAAAAGGCAGTTCGTCATCAGCGAGGTTGGGAGCCAGGGACAGGATGTTCTGACGACGGTACTAAATAATAATAGTAAAAAAAATATTTTAGAATAGTTATTAGTGAGAAATAGTTTATTTTGATGTGTATAACTAATTAATATTCCTTTAATTTAATATTATTTAAATTTTTCTATTTAAATTACTCACCGGATAGCCATTAATAGACATGGTGTGCGAGTGATCCGAGGTCACGACAATCAAAGTATCCTCCTCATTGGTCATTTTCCTGGCCAATTCCACGGCTGCCGCGAATTCTTGAGTATCTTCCAGAGCCTTCTTCGCCTTGGTGGCATGATGGGCCATATCAATTCTGCCGCTCTCAACGAACAGGAAGTAACCCTCGTCATTCTTACTGAGCAAGTTTATGGCTGCTTCTGTCATGTCAGAAAGAGATGGTTCTGCCTCCTCGTAATGGGTTCGGCGACGATCACCATGGTAGGGCAGATGGGAAGTGTCAAAGAGTCCCAAAAGATAATCGGTCTTGCTAATATCTGTATCCCTAAGACCCTTAAGGGACCAGACATATTTGCCTTCCGCTCCTTGTTGTTTCTTGATCTCCTGCCAATCCTTGATCAGATCGCGACCATCGGATCGCAGACCCGCAACTCCAATCTCATCGGGCTGGGACTGATCACGGAAGTACGACCGACCACCGCCCATTATAACACGAAGTTCTTGGCCCACTGGCCATTCCACCAGCTGACGGGCAACATCCGTGTTGATTTCGGGACTGCAGTTGGAGCTAATGATCTCACCATCGTGCTCCCATTCCCTCTCCGCCACATGAGCATAAACACCAGCTGGAGAAGCATGTGTCACTCTGGCGGTGGTCACAATACCTGCCCACTTGCCGGCGTCCTGGGCCCATTTACCAATGCTTTCGACATGATTACTAGAATTTGTGACACAATCGCCTCTTTGGACCTGCGCGTTGACTCCAAGGGTACCATAGTTGGCCTTGACTCCAGTTAAATAGGCCGTAGCTGTGTTGGCCGAGTCCGGAGTACGCTCATTCACGGCATAAGTTTTGGACAGACCCAAATAGGGGAATTTCTCGAAGAAGACCTGCTTGTTGCTATCGCCCATAAAAGCACGTGTGGCTGCAATCGTATGGATGGACATGCCATCGCCCAAAAATAGGATCACGTTCTTGGCTCGATTTTCGTTAAGTTTTTTATGGGTGGCAAGCTTATCGGCCAAAATCGATTGGGCCTTATCGTGCCAGAATCGTGTTTCCAGTTCCTCGTCGAGGGCCTCGAAGTCGCGTGATGATTGCAGACGGGGATGTTGGGCTGTAAAGTCCGGACTTTGGGTTAGCAACTAATCGGCGGGAAAATTCGTCTAATAAAACTGCTTTTCTCAAGTGGTAAACATGTTTTCTAGCTATCTTGATTAGATCTATAAATCAGTTTTAATTATAACTATTTATGGGTATTGGGCTACCGTCTTATCGCTGGAAAATCGCACCTGATTAGGCCTTAATAAAACGTGTTAAAAACGTTTCAACCTCTGGAAGTGATTAATGATTTCATCACTAAAATTAAGTGCTGTCATGATTACTTTTTTTTCTAGGGTTTAATGCATACAGTATTTGACTTTAGTTTATGTTATACCTAATATTGTCAAATTAATATCCCTTTCATTTAACCTTTCCTCTCACTCGCTTAATCAATTAACATTCTAGTCTTGGTTACCGTTTCAGTTTCTTCTTTGATTATCTGAGAAATCAATTTGAACTAAATAAAGTTACCATTTTTTAAGTAAGTAAGTAAACTGTTTGATTACTACCACAAAATATTTTCTTTTTTTAATCTTTCTTCGACCTCAACTTCATGTCACGTGAACAAATGGTTCGTAAATCATAATATAGCTCGTCGATGACTGAAACCTTTTAAAAATAGATCTAGATTAGCCAAGTCTAATGAGCTAACAAGATTTGCGATAAGGCGAGTGGGCCATTTCAATTGGCTGTAGATAAGCCGGGTTCTCGACAAATCGGATTCGTTCGGGTGAGCTCTTCGTTATATCGGCTTCGTTATTCGGTTCCACTTACCATGTTCTTGGTCATCGGTCAGATCACACTGAACCTGGATGAACAGGAGAGCGAAAAAGCTCAAGATCAGAAAACTTTTCACCATCTTGAGGGGGCGGTAACTTAAAACTGAGAAATGCTCGGTTCGAGAGTGACCGCGAGACTGGCTAAATTAGACGAATTGGCCCGGTTATATAGCCTCCGATTTTCAAAGCGGTCTTCCTGTAATATACATACGCATTATATATGATTGTTTTTGTGATTTGAGCAATCTAAAGTGGCGATCGATTAATTATCTCAAGTGCCTAAAAACGTGAGTATCACGGTCTGGACAAGGAGGTGTCGTAAATTACCCGATCCCCACCAAACTGCCCTATCGACTCCTCACACGAGCTGCACCTGATGGTATATTAATGGGCACTAGGTGACTCCGAAGTACAGTATTCACTTGGCTGGCACAGTGAAAGCATCTCGAAAATGCTGAGTCTGAAGTTCTGGATTGGCTTGGGCTTGCTGACCGTCGCTTGGGGCGCAGCGGTGCCTGGAAAAGCTCCCGTGGACGAGGAGCGAATGCACCCCCATCTGCCAAGTACTCCCAGACTTCGTGCTATTTCCGGAGAGGAAACCCAGGAGTTCTGGCATTCAGCCAGTAAGAAACTGATCCGTGAAAAGTTGGAATTTGTGAGGAACACAAAGAAGGCCAAGAACATTATCCTGTTTTTGGGCGATGGCATGGGACTGGCTACTCTGGCAGCTGCTAGGAGTTACATTGGAGGTGAGGAACTGAAGCTCTCCTTCGAGGAGTTTCCCTTCACCGGACTGTCGAAAACCTATTCCGTGGACAAAATAGTCCCCGACAGTGCCTGTACTTCTACGTCATATCTTTGCGGAGTGAAAGCCAACTACGGAACTATTGGCGTCAATGCCCATGTTAAGCGAGGCGACTGTTTGGCCATGGCTAACGAAACGAACCATGTATTCTCCTTGGGAAAGTGGGCCATGGATGCAGGCAAAGCTGCTGGACTGGTGACCACAACCCGAGTGACTCACGCTTCCCCGTCTGGAGTTTATGCCCATGTGGCCGATCGTGAATGGGAGAATAATGCTGTTCTGGAAGAAGACTGTGGTGAGCTATCAGAGGGTCTCCAGGATATAGCTGTCCAATTAATCCACGGCGAAGTGGGCAGCAAACTCAAGGTGATGTTAGGCGGAGGCAAGCGAAGCTTCTACAGTCCGGAGCATTACGACAAGGGTCGTCGAACTGATGGTCGCAATCTTGTCGAGGAATTCGAGGCCCTAGATAAGGGAAATACTTTTGTGAAAACACAAAAGAAACTGCTCAATATAAATGCCACCGAAACTGGACGATTGTTGGGCTTGTTCAGCAAAAGTCATATGCACTACCATCTGGAACAACTTGCCGATCCGGACAACAATGAACCCACTCTGGAGGAGATGACACAGAAGGCTATTGAAGTACTAGAAACCGAAGAACAAGGCTACTTCCTTTTCGTAGAAGGCGGTAAGATTGATATCAGCCATCATTCTACCATGGCACGAATTGCATTGGATGAGACCGCTGAACTCTCGAAGGCTGTTAAGAAGGCTAGGGAGATGACCGATCCGGAGGAGACCCTCATTGTGGTGACCTCAGATCACTCGCACACCTTCAGTGTTTCCGGCTATCAACCACGAGGAAGCGATATCTTTGGAGCTGCCAAGGCGAAGGGCCAGGATGGCAAACCATATCTGGCCTTGAGTTATGCGAATGGCAAGAGTTTCGAGGACTACTACAACATCGAGACCCATGAACGTAAGGATCCCACCAGTTTGCCCACCATTGGAGACTTTGATCAGCTTTTCCCTGCTATGGTGCCCCTGGAATCAGAAACTCATGGTGGCGAAGATGTCGGTGTTTTTGCCTCGGGGCCCTGGGCTCATCTTTTCACCGGAGTCTATGAACAGAACACCATTCCACATATGATGGCCTTTGCTGCTTGTGTGGGTGATGGATTAACCGCTTGCGATTAGGAATTGGAATTGGCAGTTGATTGACATGCCAAAGGACTCTTCATTAGCTTATCCACTAAAATAATTCTCACGTACGCTTTATCGCTTTAAATGAATACTCAAAAATTGACAGGTGCTGGAACACACGCCCCTCGAAAATAAGGAATTTCGATCGGGGACTACTCGCACATTCTACAAGAAGTGTTTTCCTATCAATATAAAGAACCAAATATACTTATTTGTATTGTCTGATTATGAGCAGACTTAGAGAATCCGATTAAATCTGATTAAATTAATAAGTAACATCTTAGTTTTCGACTTTGACTGAAATGGATGTGGCGTGATTAAAGAATTGCCTTTGAAGACGTTTATCTATCGGTTGAGTACCTTTCCATTAGTGGATTTTCCAGTCTAGATAGTTAAGCTTGTACGTCATTATATTGATTATATTATATGTTATTTCTGATAAAGACTTTAATTTTATAAAATGGATTATTTTGTCTGACGCAAAAAGATGACGTTGGTGAAAGGGCTAATAAATATATTTAGATATTAGAAAGATATTTGAGATATATTTGTTGACAAATAATTGGGGCAGTATCTCTTATAATTATATTTCTAATCAATACTAAGAAATTATATTATCGCCTTTGTTTGTAATGTGAATTTATTGAGATCATTATCATTATTGATCATTTGGCCACTGATTCTTAGAAATGTCCATTTAAAAATTAAATCTGATTTCGGTGTATCAAAAAATGATAAGCAATGCCATTTTTGTAGGCAATTAAAAACGATTTGATTTAAATCAATTTTGTTTTTCTTGAGAACTCCCATTATCGCAATTGGCTGTCAGGATGATTGGGCAGTTAATAAAATGCAAAGTACCTGTGCTTATTATGCTAATCAAGTTCTTGATATCGCATGGCTTTATGACAATTGAATTTTTCTTGAGAAACTTTTATATTTAGGGTCTATATTTTACGCAATATAATTGTTGACAATTGTCATTGCGGATTTCTGTTGGGAAATACCCTTTGGGAAGTGTTTCTATTTTTAGTTAGCCGTTGATCATCGATTCCAAGAAAATTTGTCTTTGAGTTTGTTTACTTTGCGACTAAACAATTAACACGTTAGAGTCAACTGAATGAAGCTTCGGGTTTCTACCATCTAATATATATAAAAATCTCTTATCAATTTATAAAAACTTTCACATAACTATTCATTTAATTTTAAAATAAAGCTAAAACAAACTTGGGAAATCCCAAAATCATCTCCTTGTTAGACATTATCAGTACTGTTTTATTAAAATATTCAACTAACTCCAATCTCTACATTTCTTCTCAAATGATGACTGCATATTGATTAGCACTACGAGGTTGTACCAGAGTGGCATACTTTTCTTTCAGCTCAACCAGTGCCCTCTGAAAGTTCTCCATGCTGTTCTCCAGCTGGTTGGGATTATGCTGTTGCACGGAGTGACCCTTGGCAGTCATTAAGCCATCGTGGGATCGCTCGCCCAAGAGGAGAATTCTCCGCCAATCGCTTGCATCGGAGCTGCCTCTCAAGAAGTCCTTGCGATTTCCTACCGCGAATACAGTTTCCTCAATGTTTTCCGGAAGTAATGTGGTCTGCGCAGCTCCCAGTTCTCCAGGTGTGGGCTGAGTGGGTGCCATTTGAACTGCCGGAGGTGTAATCGCCGACAGAGATGACGATGTGGGTTGAGGTGGTGGAATTGGAGCTGCCGCTTGATTCACCGCTGAATCGAATAGTTCAGTTGGCAGATTTTGCGGTCTATCTATCTGCATTACCTGGCCATCGGGAGAAATGTGGAAGAACTGGGCCCGACCAGCTAATCCGGTTCCAACACCACCAGGAATTACTATAATATTGCCGACTGCGGAGGTCAAAGCAGAGGATCCCCCAAATCCGCCGCCAGCTGGAGTAGAAACAAAAGGTGGAACAGGAACTCCGGGAGGTGGAAAAGATCTCAATGGTGGAACCGCCGGGCAGGGGAAGCAATATCCGGGGGGACCCGGTGGACCTGGTAATCCTCTAGGTCCCTGAATAATAGGAAGATTTGGAGGATAGGGACCAGTGGGTGGATAGCCCCAGTAGCCGGAACCACTGCCGGCAAGACCATTCGAATTTCCTGGTGGACCTGGTGGACCAGGAGGACCTCGTTCACCCGCAGGACCAGGATCACAGGAGCATTTCACTAATGAAGCCTGGGCAGTAGTAGAAAAGCCTACAGGAAAATGTGTGTTGATATGAAACTATAATTAAGGAATTTTTTTGAACTTACCCAAAACGAAGACAGCCAAGAGACTCAAGAAATCCATAGTGCTCTTGAAAAATCAACCCAAAACAGACTGAGCTGAGCCAAGAACTTGACAGCTGCTTTTATAAGCTGGAAAACTCTAGAATAATTTTAATATGCATATAACATTAACGAAGTAATCTGAAGATCGAACCCAAAACACATTTCCCGCGTCTCTATAACTGTTCCTAGCCCAAAATCGAAAGGGAAATGTTATGCGATCAAATGGAAAAATGCCATCATCGCCAAGGCGGTCGACTGACATTTATGATAATTTATGCAACAATCTTTACACGAAGATCATTAGGCCTGAACACAAGCCTTTAAACTGGGTCAGCAGGGTTCTGGATTCTTGGTTAACAATCAGCAGTAAAACTTCAAAAATGCATCAAATGTCAATCAAGTCGTAAACTGTGATTAAATCAGATAATTTATGTCACTAAATGTGGGCGCTAGCCATCAAAATGACACCCAGACTTTTGATTCGCTGCAGGAAATTATTTTCATCACCTTTGTGGGGAAACAGAAATTCTAGAAAAACATTTTCACAAGCGCCGTTACAGTTTCCATTTCCCCCGAAATTAGCATAAATTACAAAATCAATATGTTCTTAATCAGGTACCATGCTACGACGGATTGAAATGAAAAGGTTCTGCGACATTTCCGACTTATCTGAGAATTCCATTGACAAGACAAAGCCCCCGAAAACACGCGTCATTAGTGGCACTCGTCCACTCTGTAAGTGCTCACTTCCAAACGAGCGCCATTCGCTTGAGAACTGGTGACATTGGGCCTCTTGACAAGCCCAGATAACCAGAAAAGTAAAACCGGATGAAAGGATTTCTGGTTTCTTTAGCCACAATCTTTAAATACACTAGGAAACGATTTTCCATAGTCTATCAAATACGGTATTAAAGTTGAAAACAACTTAAATGTACATTTTATAACAATATTTGAAAGAGCTATTATTCAAATACAAATAAAATGCAAAAAAGAGATTTAAATTAAAGTGACATAAATATTTGATACCATTAATCTCATTGAAATATAATAAATCACTGCGGGAACCTTCCCCAACTTTTTAGGGTATAAAACACTTTGTAAACACTGCAGTGATTAAGTAATAATCATAATTCAAGTACATAAGCTAAAACCAAACTGTATCAGTTAACGACAGGAATCTAAAAAGCTTTATCAATTGTGTTGTCATGGAATAATCCCAAAGTACTTGATCCAACCTGGTGTTTTCTTGGCATTGTTTCTATTGTTTCTCCCTAAAAAAACACAGGAAAATAATAAGAATGCGAAAATTAGCAATTGGCACCCTAATAAATGGGCAGATAAGGCGCCCAAACCAATTAAATTCCAATAAAAAATATAGAAACACCGCAGAAGTTGTTTGCCTCCGAAAAACTGAAGAGCAGTTTGAGGGTCAATGTTACTGAGCGGATCACTAGTCGTTAAACGATCTTGATGATTTTTGATAATGCCCGTGATGGGGGTAACATCTAAAGGAGTAAACAATTTTTTTGGTTTTATATATTGAATTTATTATTAGATTATCGACTATTGCTAATCAGCACATTTTTTGCATCGTACATAAACTTAATTGGCGCAAACAAGTTCAAGTCACATTTTGTTGCAATTGCATAGATTGATAAGTTTTCTAGGCAAACAATTCAAATAAAATACTTGATGTACACGTCATGCCAAAGCACATATATGTCAAAAATATTATTTTCGGAACTACATATTTAATGTGATAAAAAAAATTTAGTTGTTTAAGATTTCCAAAGGCAAAGAAGAGAATATATATATATTTTTTTGTAATTAGTGATTTTATGGAATTAAAAGAGATTCCAATTAAAATTGTGTATATAAGTAATTGACGCTTAAATCTAATCAAAGTAAATGCAAAATAATCCGATTTCAATTTACAAATATATCTTAATTTTACTTTCCTTTAAATTTCTCCAGAATTGAATTCAATTTTTGTCGGTCTTAAGTTTCTTATCAACAAATTCCGAAAAACACTATTTAAGTAATATATGTGCCTTGCGTATACATCGATAAACTGAATATTTAATCTTTGGTGCGAATACATTGGACTGGCATTCATTTTCACACCAACATGAGAAGTGAGAAACGCAAAGAGACGGATAGAGGAGAGCCAACTGGAGCAAAAGTAAACACACAGAACTAAAACTCTACTCAATAAATACAAGTGTAAATCGATTAGGATGATATACAGATCTGGGGGCGGGTTGCGGCGCAGTGAGTCGCACGGCTCTTAGTCTATTTTCACATTGGAATAGATTTTGCGCACGAAGAGATTCGTGCCCACATAGCCGACGGTACCGCAGATAATTCCCAAGGCGCCGCTGAAGAGCGCCATGTAGCCAAAGTAAAAGGCCGTTTGGAACAGACCGAACATTCTGTAACATAATTAAAACGATTCTTTAGCATAACTATAATTAAAACTACTAATGCGTGACTTACTTGGTTTTAAAGAAAAAGTAATAAAAGGAGTAGGCATAAACGTAAATGGACGTTGAGCCTGCTGCCATGAAACTCGTCCACTGCCATCGATAATCCTCAGCATTCAGCAGGAAGTATGTGCACACAATGGTAACGCACACTGTGACCACAGTCAATATGCTGAACACCAGCAACATGAAGCCATAGACATAGTAGATCTTATACGCCCAGAAGGAGGTGAAGATGAAGTACCTGTGCAGAAGGAAGTAGGCAAGTTAGTGAAATGTTTTAAAAGAGCGATAATAATATAATTTCCACCAAATCTTTTATATATAGTTTTTTAATACAATGAAGTTACCAATGACAAGACAATACTTACATCTCAATAAAGATGGATCCAAATGGCAGAACGCCGCCAAGAAGAACAATAATCAGTGGCTCCATGTACCACTTCTTTTCGGGGATGGGTCGTGGCACAGCGTTGACTCGGCAAGGGAAGTCTGGCTGACCGTCCAGGTTACGACCCACCACAGTGCCTACCAATGTTAAAGGCAGGATCACGAATAGACAGATACAGGTAACCGCCACCATAGTTCCGAAGGGAATGGCTCTCGAGGCGTGATAACCGATGGCGATAAAGTTGATCAGAAATGCAGTGCCACACACGGCTACTGGAACTGTAAAAGCGGACACTAACATCTGTCGGATCCACATTCGTCCTCCCAATCGTGCGTATAAAGATCCACCAAAGTAACCATTGATTGGAGAAGTGGCCGCGTATACAAATATTGCCGTCGACAGCATAGAACCGCGTTCCGTATACAATTCACCGACAATGGCGAACATAATTACACAGAAAACAACCGAAATCAGTTGGTAACCAGCTCCCACCAATGCAGAAAAGAGCAGCGTATTGGGTGGTGAACGGAAGACGTCGCCGTGAACCTGTTTCCATCCGTATTCATCACCAAGATCGCGCTCCATGTCGTCGACCTCCTCGTCCTTGCTATAGCGGGCATAATCCTTGCGCAGCGTTCTCATCAGAATCATTGACACAAGGCCCACCAGGAAGATGACCATCATGAAGCTATTGAAGATGCTGAACCAGTGGATCTAAAGGAGTTCAGGAAAATAATATGTTTATGTATCCTCAATTGAATCGCTTTATTTATTTTTAAATTTCTTTCCTTTAACTATGTCATATACTATCTTCTATTTTTTTTTTTTACTATATTTAATACTCACCCTGTGCTGGAAGAAGTTAGGGTCCAGATACTTGTCGAATCTGTTCTTAAACTCCACCTTGCTAGACTTCCAGTTGACCTCGTAGGAGAAGTTGATGTGGGATCCCGGTTTGAGTTCCTCCCTACCTTCGGTGGTCAGGGTGATATCGACGATTTGCTGGCCATTGTAGCCAATGTCAAACTTTTTGTGAGTGAAGATATAATATTTTCCATCTCGTTCGTCCCGCTCTCCGACCTTTCCCCATATGGGAAGGCCGTCGATGTACATCTGGTACCAATATTCGTTCTTAACGGCATATATAAACGCCTTGGCACTCTCCTCCTGCAATGTTACCATGCAGATGACCGATCGCGGAGCATCGATCTTAAACTCCATCTCGTAGCCGCTGAACTCGAGTTCAACACCTTGGAGTGCTTCGCTCAAGGTCTCATGATAATGCGAAATAGATGACTTTTGGCCACTGCAGAACGGCAGGGAGAAATACGCGTAGGTTTCCTGACGATTGTGATACGGACCCACCGTGTTCATCCAAAGGACCACCTCCTCCCGGTCATTATACTATGAGGAGAAATGACAGATTTAGTTCAAACTTGCACGATATTAAGGGCCAAAACGTACCTTGTGATTATGCTCATCCGCCTGAGAGTGCGACACGTAGCAGCTGGCGATGAGCAGACATAAACAAATTGCACGAAGCGGTTGAACCACTATGGTGTTTGCGCTGGCTGCGGCGGCTCTGCCCATCGTAGGTTTTGCAGGTAGTGACCTCGATTGCAATACTTTGGCGTGACCTCGCTCTGCCGGCGTGCTTCTCGAGTCCTTTTTATGATTGCCTTTCAAAAAGTTTTGTGGCAAACACAGATTTGCCGACAGCGGAAAAAAATATCTCGTAAACGTAAAGTCAGCTCATTTGTGCTAGTTCCGAATTTTCGAACTAAATCATAGAACTAGAACACACGTCACTTGGCTCAAACAAACGTTGTACAACACTGTTTCGGAGAGGCTATGTGACCATTTTCAAAATTCAGTTGGTTTTTTGAAATAATGTACTGCATTTTATTTTTTAGGAGTTATGTATGACATTTTTAGCTTAAGATGGTTCATCAACTAAACCTGCACACAATGCAAGTATTTAGAATTATTAAGTAGCAGCACCGATTGGATTATCAAAATTTATTTTTTGAGCTGACTAATAACTTTGTTTTACTAATAACTGTAAATAAGTAAGTAAAAAAACTTATTCCAATTTTAAGTTTAGATTTGTTATACTAAATTATATTTTGGATTCCATTTTTTATTTTTCTTTAAGCCTCAGAAATCCTAAAAACTTAAGAAAACATAATGATAATAAATATTATTAGAATTTAATTCAATGAATGAAATGAATTTAATCATAAAACTAGTTCTAAATTCAGGGAAAGAGAGTGAGAGTAAGACTGAGTAATCAACCTTGATAAAGTGAACACTAAGAGGAAATTATGTTTCCGATCAGTCATTAAGAAGCAGTGGTCGGATACACAAGCTTAACGCGCTGTTTTTTTTAATCTATATTTTAACTTTAAAGAACTGTTTTTTTTAAATAAATTTAAACTATTTGTCGGTTTTCCGAATTTTAAAATAAAATTGAATACAAATAAAAAAGAAAAATGCGGTTATTTCTAATAGTGCTTGTCACATATAACTTGATGATAGAGAAATCGGATGGGGAGATAATCGGATGTGATTTTGTTGACACTGTAAACATAACCGAATCTACAAAACTCTCAAACGGGTCATATATCTATGAGGATTTACTCATTCCCGACGATTTGACTGGGGAATATGATTTCATTCTTATGGCAAACGGATTGAAAGAGAAAGTAGATAGCCACATTAGAGGATGTGTCTGCAAACTAAAAACATGCATCAGGTTTTGCTGCCCCCATGACAACATAATGTATAAAAATGTTTGTTATGATAACATGTCTAAAAATGAGATGAAAATTCTTGACCCCTTCGTAAACATAACCCTTAACAACGGATCCGTGACAAAGATGCACTTTAAAAATGATCTAATAGTGCAATGGGGTTTTCCAATGGCCTGTAACAAAACTTTTTTCCTTGACGTCGGGTATAACGATCAACAGTACACAATTTTTGAGGTTTACTATGCTTTAGATTATGCCATAAGTTCGTAGTTAATCTGAATTTCTCCTCCATAGAATGGAACGTTTCAACGCCACTTCGATGGCAAGGTATTTAACAAGCACAACTACTGCTTCCAGCATCAAACATTCAATGTCGATGGTGCTCAAACTATCCGAATGGCACCCTTTAACTGCGAAATAGAACCCGATAATATAACCGGAAGGACCGTCGGTAACTTAATAGTTATTACAAGCTTAAGCATACTCTGACTTCCCTTTCTTCTTGTAGTTTTGATCATATCGATGACATCTTTGGCTCTCACGACCACAATATACCTCGTTATCAAGAAATTGAGAATCTTGATCGGCAAATGCTTGATCTGTTACATGATCAGCCTTTTCTTCGGCTTCCTTTTCTATCTACTTCAGCTGTGGGACTTATCAGAAGCTTTCTGCACTTTAGCAGGTTAGAGATGTTAGCGACTTTATGATCAATGGAACATTAACGTTTTAACACTTTTCATTTATTTATTATTTAGCTTACATGGGCTACTTTTTCGTAATAGCCGCGTTCTTTTGGCTCTCTGTCATCAGTCAATATCTCTGCAAAAATATGACCAATAGCTTTAAATCCATAAAATGCTTCAGTTCAGAACGTCCGTTTATCGGCTACAGCTGCTACGCCTGGGGAATTCCGATGGCAATGACGGGAATCGTCTATCTTGCTGATAAGGTCGTAGAAAACCAGGAAATTAAGCCTAATATGGGCGAACAATGTTGGATCTCCAGTCTGTTTCAAATACTATTTTAGCTTTGTAGGCAGATATCCTTTAACGTTTTTCTTCCATCCACAGCTGAAAAATGGTCGGCCATGATCTACTTCTTCGGGCCAATGTTAATTCTGATTGTTCTCAACACAATCATGTTTGTAACGACAGCTTTTTACATATTCAGTTCGAAGTCATATATCAGGAATACCGCCATGAAGGATGGCAGAGATCTAAAACTCAAATCGGACAAACGGAAGTAAGCTATAATTTTAAAATATTGAAGTGCTTTTCAAGAATCCATTGCAGTTACACAGTCTTTCTTATGCTCTTCATTGCCATGGGAGTGTCGTGGATTTTTGAAATAATATCCTACACGGTGCAAGACAAAGAAACTTGGGCACGAGTGTTTCTGGTAGCTGACTACGTTAATTGGTCCCAGGGCATCTTCATATTTGTGCTGTTTATCCTAAAGCCATCAACGCTAAAACTCATAAAGAACGAGTTAGTATCCTGCAACTCAGTAAAAAACTAGAGTGACCCTTAATTGTCTCCAAAAACGAAACTTTGGTTCAGTGTCAACCATTTTTAAGTCCGACTTTTAACGATACTTTCTTCCTAGAATCTTTCCGAACAACGCATGGAGGTCTAGTATGAGATCAAGAGCAACTCAAAATTCCATTGTCGGATGCGGCAATAAGCGCCCAACCCAAAGAACAACTTCTCAGGACTCATCTTGTTTGTAGTGAAGTACAAAAAATTAATGTTTTTTATATGACTTGTTAGTCAAACAGAAGTACAAAAAGTAATGATTCATGAAAATTCCAGTAGTCTAATCAGTTCTGAAAACACAAAAGCAAGTCGTATCATTCTTTTTTTATAATTTCCTGTACCATTTCCAAAGTTTAAAAAAAATGTATTTTCAGTAGTGATAACTCAGAAATACATCACTCAAAAATTAAATCTTTAGTTAAATACTCAGAATCTTCAGAGAAAATGTCGAGTAATAATTATGGGAGTTTTACATTCGTTATCATCAAAATATTTTCCGCTTCAGTGCAGTAAATATCATTTAGGACTCCGGTCCATGAATCAGAAAACTTGTGTTACGATAAATAAATCTAGATAGTTGTACAGTTTCATTCGTATTATTACTTGTAAAAATTGTAATTAAAGAGCAGATTATATAATGCGAACCCTACAGCACCAGTCATCATCGATGTCGAATCTTTTTGTTTATGTGCCCGCTTTTCTTGGCTGTCGCACTGGAGTTGGTGGATAGTTTGCTTTTTGTATTCGATGTGGGTGTACCAAGGACATCTTTGTTTCCAGAGCCGGTACCTCCGCTGCTGGCAGATCCGGCAACTACTCCGGATCCTCCGCTGATCAGACTTCCATCATTCCGATGTGACGGCGAATCTGTAACGTCACGCATATGTTCGTGGGGTTTTTGAAAAACATTCGGATTTATAAAATAATACTATTTTATTTTTTGAAATTTTTCATATAGATAATATTTATCATTAATATGTTAGCTGAAGTTTAAGATTAAGTTCTATGAACTTTTGATCTGCCTTACCCTTTTCATCTTTCGGCGTGCTCTTAATTGTCGTGGTTCCATCGTGGGCCGTCGTCGTGTTCTGATTGATGGAGATTTGATTGTCGCTGGAGTCTTCATTGGTAATGGAATCCGATTCGCTGGCGCGCTCAGCTGTAAATGAATAAATATTTTAATATAGACTGATTGGTTTTAATTTAAAAAATATATTACGATTGCATATAGCCATTGAGGTAATGCTGGATTTGGAGAAGAGCCGTTCGGCCTCCTTGAACTTGCGATTCCGCTTGTCGGCCTTGGAATTGGTAGCCTTGTTTGAGGTCAGGTAGCGTTCCCATCCGCGGATTATGTTTCCGCATAATTGTGTGTCTTCTAAATAGGAACCCTCGAAGGCGTAGATCTGTCGCTCTAGATTGGCCAGTTGTTCCTGTCATTCATACAATAATAATAAGCATATTATACCGCAGTTTCGTGTTTGTTTATGTTGTGTCTCACCGATGTCTCAGCCTTCTTTTTGATGAGGTCGGCCAATTCAGCGCGTGTGTCCATGGATCCACTTTTAGCATTAGAATTTGTTTTGCCAGATTTTTTTGGCTTGTTTCCATTAGTTTCGGTGACACTTTTACTTGTGGGTGAGCTCATGTTTTCATAAATATTCACAAAATTTCAAGAAATTATATTTTGTTTTGATAAGTGTGACCAGATGGTGTAATGTCAAATATCATTGTAAAGCGTTTTGGACAAACTGAAACGCGGTCCAATTAAAAAAAAATTGTACTTTAAAACGTTTATTTTTCATTTAATATTCTTAATCTTATAATATTCAACATTTTTATGATATTAGTTTTTAAATATATTTTTATTATGGCTGTAATTTTTGCATTGAACTATTGGCGGTTGTTGGAATGACTAAACTGTTGCTGTTCTTACTAAATTTTTAGATGTGACTCAAACCTAACACATATTAGTTAACTGCTTGGTTGTATAGGTGGTGCTGTTTTATCTTCTAAGATCATTTAGTGCAGTTCTTTAGACTTTGCAGTTTTAAGGAGTTAGCAGGTGAAGGAGTTCCATAATAATTAATTATCGCAAAAATGTTATTTATATTTAAATACCCAACAATATAAAAAAATATATAAAATCGCTAATAAAAATGAAGTTAAAAGTATAATAAATGCAGGCCGCAATTACTTAAATTAAGAGCCTTAATTGTTCTCCTATTTTTTGTAAGATTATTCTTCACCGAGAAAACTTATTTTCCCTTTTCCACCGATTTTTTTTATTATACCGATCGGCCCTTCACCACTTTGCATTCATTTTGGCTGCCATTGACCTCTCGTCTTGTTATTCTTTTTTATTTATGCGTTTGCCACAGACAAAAGATTCGGTTCACCTCAAGCGCCATCACCATTACCATCGTCATGATGATGGTGATCATCTAATGATCTTCCCGTGGCTCTTGCATAGTTTATTGACCCAAGTTCGTTTCAAAGTTTGTTGAACTGCCGAAAAAAAAGTGAAGCTACCGTTCTTCCAGCTCTCTATTTCTTTCCGATCCCTCATTCTGTCTTTTTTATTCCGCCTTTCGCTCTCTTGCCGCTTGCTCTTTCTCTTTTACTTGGCTTTTTTTTGGCTGCCGCTTTTTATGGGCCTTCGTTGTCGCGCCTATTTCACTTTCGTCATACGCGGCGTATGCGTGATTTTATTTTTGCAGCACATCGCCTTTCATGTTGACCATATACAAAGGCAATATAAAGTGAGGCTGCGGATGAAGACGAACTCGATTAGAAAATGAAATCATTATGCAGCGGCCACATCGGCCAGCAAAAGCGAAACGGCAACGACCGTTGCAAGTCGCTGACTAAACAAAGTCTGCTATTCCGCCACGTTCCACTAACACAATCGTCTTAGTGACTGAGTGACTTAGTGACTAAGTGACCGACTCACAAACTGCAGTCTTTTCTATGTATGTCAAACATTGGCGCGCGCGTATTCGCGAAACAACAAAAAGTGCAGCAAAAAAACTTTCATTTTATTTAAACAAACACACAAGGCGCGGCCAGGGCTTAGACTTGGAAAAACTTATTTTCATTCGGTTTTAAGCAAACATCTGCCAAATGAAAACTCCGACGGTCGATCGGTATTAGCCATCTTCTTCTGGTCTGCACTGGAAAAAATTAAAATGGATTCCATAAAAATTCTTGTATTTTATTTTTTTAATTTTATTTATCACAATGATTAAAAGTATTCTAATTTAAATGAGGAATATATTTAGCTAAAAGATGAAATAGTTTTGTTGTTTTCTAACGATTTACTTTGACAAGTGCAGCCAATTGATGGCAGTATACAATAATTTTTATGATGAATTGCTTGGCCGCGTGTGAAATCTGCAGCAGTCGCAGCATTGGCCGGTGGAAAAGTGGAAAACTGCCAGAAAAGTGGAACACAGCTAAAGAAGCATCAGCAACGGCTGCAAGTGCAACAACTGCAGTGGCAGCAGCAACTCAAACACTCTCGACTAATTAGCTGCGTTTTAGAAATTCAGGCGGCAATGAAAACAAAATCGAGTTCAATGCTTGCAACGATGACGTTGTTGTTGCTCTCTTCGTAGTATGTTTTCGACTTTTCCGAGAATTTCACATATAGCATACATAGGCCGATGCAGCGCTTTCCCAACGCCAACCGAGTGAAAATGAGTCTGCTTCACTTTTGGGCAGCTAGGGAAAACTGCAAAATGAAAAGTTAAGCCACGACATTGTCTTGGAATTATTGATCATATTTTAATCTGGTTAATATGTTCTTTATTAATATTAAAGTTAGTCAAGCAAAGAAATTGATATTCAATATTTAAAAACTTAAACAAGATATTCACTTAAGAAGATAGTATTGTTTGGTCGATTATCTAAATTTTAAACATGTCTAATGTTAATGCTTCAAATCTACTAAGCAGGTCCATTTTTATTAAGTCTTAATAAAGTCTTAAGACTAATAAAGTCTTAAGACTAATAAAGTCTTAAAAAAATAACAAGCAACAGATTACATGTTCCAAGAGCTAAATAAATTGGAAAAATTAAACAATTTAAAATAAAAGCAGATGGAATTTGTCTTGAAATCACTTAAGCTTAACCCTTAGAGGGCAACCGGCGGCAGCAGTGACATCATAGTGCTGATAACAGAAATGCACTTGCTATCTAGCGTGCACTCTCACACACACTGATGTGACAAAGCTTTCCTAAACGACTTAGCTTTGCTCTCTTTGTCTCTCTTTTCCGCTCTCTCTCTCTCTCTCTCTTTGCGCAAAGCTCTAGTTTTTGTTGTTGGGCAAAGCAAAATGCCGGAAGAAACTTGATCTTGATTATTTTCTATGTGCGAGCAAGCGAGAACGCGAATGCGCAAAAAGTTCAAGTTGAATGTCGCGGCCATTGTGGCGCTCTCTCCGTCTCTCTCTCTTGAGAGCGCCTCTTGCACATGTGGGTGTGTGTCAGTGGGAGTGTGTGTGGGGCGTCACAATTTGCACTCGTCGTGCTTTTGTTGTTGCCTTTATTTTGTGTGGGCTCGCATGCATTTCAGATTTTAGATTTGTTCTAAGCGATTTGAAAGCTTTTCATGGTAAATGCGCTTTTCGCATGCATTTTTGTTAGTTCCTGATTGTTATTATTATTTCTATATTTTTTTATAAATGCATTTTGACATTTATCTTGATTCTAAAAAGGTTTCAATGACTTATCTGTTTTAAATATTTTGTTACCCATTGTTAAGGAATAATTTTCCCTACCTTAAATAATATAATAAATTTAAAAGTCTTTGAATATGATGTTTAAATATTTAATCATCCGCTTCTGTGCGTGCCGCCTTTGGTTAATTCAAAAATAATTCTAAGCAATTCTTTGAAAATTTTCTAATGGACACTTGAATTTCTGTTTGCACTTCGCACTTTTTGGATATTGCCCACGGCCAACTATTAATTATTATCCGAGTCTTTGGTTTACCAAACCCTTTTTTTCATTGTTTGCCCAAAAAACAAACTGTTGACCAACAAATAACGCACAAGCGCAAACATTTCGGAGAAAAATAAAACGAAAAAACGAAAAAAAATGCAATCAGAGTTAGGTAAGAGAACTGACCTTTAACAATGCTGCACAGATCGACGTCATCATCTCTGGCATCGCATCCCAAGCTCTTTCACTTCCCCCATCTCCCTCACTCTTTCTCCGCCCGAAATCCAAAACACATTCACCCAAAAACGTCGCCGCTGACAAACAACAAACATTCCTTTTTCAAGAGACAACACTGCAAACGCACGCACACACCAAAAAAACTTCTTCAGGCTACGCGCCAAAGGCAAAAGCGACTTAGCCAACAAAAACTCAAACGAAAGCCAAGCTCAGTAAAAAGAGAAAAGGCATATGAAGACAGTCAAGGACACAAAGAAAGAAATATATTAATATTATATTAAATTCATTGAGATCATATCTTAAGTGCCTAAGTATATTATAGCGTGCTTTTAGGCATTATTACAGGTGATTTAAAAATGTTGTGGGTTCTGCTAATCCTTAAGCCAGTTAAAGCCAATAAATAAGTAAATTACTCCTAAGCTGCTATTCTTATGACCGCAGTTGTATTTTCGCCTGCATGGTTAAGAGGCTGAGAATCAGTTAACAGAGAGACAGACGGCCAAAAGAAAGAGAGGAAAACAAGACGTGGAGAGTGCGGGAGGGAGAAAGGGGAAAAGACGAAGCGAATGGAGTGCACGAGGCGAATGAACTTTCGTGGCGCTCTGTTTTAATGCTGTCTGCGCGCTGGCATGAAAGTTATGCAACGCAACACACACACACATACACACTCGCTCAGATTTACACAGAGACTGAGCTCGGCTTTCGGCTTTTTACACGAGCCCCTACGAAGTCAGTTAACTGTTTTGCGGATAGAGGAAGCAGCAAGTGACGAAGGAGGCAAAAGAGAGAGGGAGATGGCGAGAGGAAAGCAGCGCCGACGAGTCGTTGACTTTGCATAAGTGTGCCAATTTATAAAACAGTTCAAGATTAACGTGGCCTTCAACACCAGATCGAACACAAACGCAACAACGGGACACAATAAACACAAAGAGTACAAAAAATAGCAACAATATACTATTAGCACACTCATAACTTTCACATTAAACAAATGGAATTCGTTGTGAAGGTGTTTTTATGTATCATAATTTAGTAATAATATTATTAATTAACTTTATTATAAATATACAAACCCTACCAATAATTGATAATAAACTTTATCAGTACACAGATTAAAAAAGAATAGAATGTCCAAAATAAATGAAAACCTATTCCAAAATGATTTCCGAATAATGCCAAAGAGGTATGAATATCAAATAATAACATTATTGCAAGAAACTTAGATTTAAGTCATAATCTTTAGGGTTTTCCATGAAATTAAAAAACCGCTTTTCTTATACTCTGCAGATTGAAAATTCTTTGACAAAATCTATTAACGTTCAACGTTTCAATCAATGGTTCAGAAATAGTAAATAAAAACTTAAAGAATTATAAATTTCTAATTCTTATTATCATTCAACCATTTCGATTATCTTCCTGGGAGAATGTATTTTCTTGTAGCCCTAAATCATTTCCTTTTGTGGCCCTCTACACTTTGGGGTTTTTCCTGAGTCGCTTTTGGCCCTGACAGAACATCACGAATTTGCCACGTTTTG